AATATTGTTGTCATCTGCACTTGTCATAATTTTGTGTCTTTCAGATCAGATCCATCCTGTTGCTGAAATTCAAAGGGAGGTGTAGATAAATAACAGACATGTAAATCAATGTCAAGAAAGACAAACATTTTAAATGAAAACAATTGATAATAAGAATACACCTGCAGACTATTAACTTAAAATTGACTAGACTGGACAAATTAAATCAAACCTACAAAATATATTTCGCTGTTAAATAACAGACTTCAAACTGACCTTTCACACATTTATTCACATTGTTACTGCTAAAAGGACGGCTGCGTCATCATTGACAGACGTCGTGTTTACTGCACCTTGTAAGTTTTTGTTTCATTTCTGACTTAAAAGTGATCCTCGTCATGAATTAAGTCTGGAGCTATTCTTTCAGAGGAGCTTCATTATGTTGAAAATAAATATTTATAAACAGGGCTCTGCTTGTTAGTGGTCTGTGAAGGAAATTATAATGTTTTTTTTGCGGTGCATCATGATTGTGTGTAAGTGAAGGAAACAGGTATATAAACAGATGGTGAGCACTCACCAATTTGCCTGTATCTCTGCCTTTCCATGTGGTGATGGCCAGCTCCAGCAGGTCGATGTCCAGGACACACACATAATCTGTGAGACACACAAACACGTGGTGGTTTTCATAAGAGTGTACAAACATACATAAACATAAGATGATTCAAAAACTGTTGGTGTGTTTGTGCCTGATGACGAAGTTAAGACTCTTTGAATTCTCTCTGTGAACAACACTGTCTCTTAAAATGTGCTTTTTCTCAAATGTTTATTATTTGTGTTTGCTTTATTCTTACGGCTTGTCATTACTGTTAAATGCTGTTGAATCATCTAATTTGTTGTCTTTGATTTTAGATTTTCTATGATATAATTAGCTGTCTCTGATTTCAAATTTTATTGTATTATTTTAGTTTTAGTCTTGGATGTTTTGTCTTCTTGTTTTTTCGTCCACTTTGTACTCGACAGTGCTACAAGTCCTTGAGAAATTTTGTGAAAGACAAAAATGGCAGACACATCATTAGTCAAGCGGGCTTGAAAATGTTTTATTGTATTAATTAAAAGAGAATCAGCATTAACCAGGGGGCGCTGCGGTTTTATTGTTTCAGTAACATTTTTTACCACTATACATCATGTGTCTTACCTCTCCTCAAGTCAACAGTGTCAGTCTCACATTTGTCAGAGAGGTAAAGAGCAGAGTCATCCAGGATGAATCTGAACACAACGCAGCAAAAGACAGAAATATCTTACAGCATGTGTAACCAGGTAGTATACATATATATATGTGCTACCCACTAACAACAACATTTAAAAACATCTACTGTGCTGTTTTACAGGATTCTATACCTGAGGTGGAAGGTGGCGGTGTCGACGATAATGTTACTGGACAGAGAGAAGGACTCTGCAGTGAACAACACTCGCAGTGGCAGATACAGAGGTCTGTCGAACAGAGAGGCAGATGATGACGGTGGAAAAAGTCAAAGGGCTTAATTATGCTTCCATTTTAAATGTAAACCACCTTTTCATTTACAAACCTGTAGTCGACAGCACAGGTAGCGAGGTGTGTGTGGAGGACAGTGATGACAGCAGGTGCTGTGTATCCCAGAATGGGATCATCAATGACATCCAGGAACTCGACCAGCTGTAAACAAACATTCAGGATTAGATTTAATTATTGATTTCAACATTCCAAACAGGAACAATTTAACTAGATAATAAAACCGAACAAATGGCATTTGGTGTAATAACAGCATGGTTCTATAGTCTGTTTGTTTTTTCTGTTTCTGGTATTAAATCATCCTTCATTAGCTGATGAAGCTGATGATGTAATAGCATATATTTACTCTTTCTACACTACTGGTAGGACCTGTGAGGAAACAGGTATCAGCAGAGACAAGATGGTGTTCCTGGTCAAGTCATCTGTGTGCCAGTTCTCTCAGTTTTTATTTTTGTTACTGCCTCCATGAAAACATCATTAGTTGCTCTGTCTGTAATATATCATTAACTGTTTTTCATCTTTTTTCTGTGACCCCAGAAGATGCTTGAATAGAGGAGATTCTGTAGTAAAGAAATGAACAGCTAAGCCTTTTATTCAAGACAATAGATGGACTCCAAAGCACTCTGGCCCTGACTACAGGAGAAATTGTTACCCCCCCTACCTCCTTCTGTACTCTAGATTCTCCAAATATATATCTGTGACACTGTGGAATTTTTATGTTTTACTAACTAAACCCCCAACCTGTTATTTCCCTGTAAAATAAATGAAAATTGCTTAAAAGGCAAATAAAGTATGAAATAAGAAATACCAAGAACTATTCATTATATTACCAGTATCTGTTCTTATTTTCCTTTCAAGGCCTTTATTGAAACACAGAAGAAACATGATCTGTAAGGCTTCTCACCTGTTCATGCCAGCTCTGATTGGTCTGCGTCATGTAATGTCTCATGGTGGCACCTTGAAGTCGAAGGGCAACTAGAAACTCCTACAAGGAGACACGCGAACAAACATTAATCCATTTCAAACATGTAGCGACACCAAACTCAGGTGCGTGATGAGGACGTACCTTAACATTCCTCTGGAGGTCCAGTGTGATTTTGATGGCGGTGGATAACATCTGTAGCTCCCCCTCCCTGCCGCTCACGCTGCTCACACCCACCTCTGTGGGGTAGATGGTAGGGTCCAAGTGTTTTGGGGGAGTGAAGCTCGGCATTTCCAACCGTTGTGGGATAGGGGTGTCTTTTACCACCGCTGCAGTGACATGAAGGATAATAAAAGGGGCTTGAAGAATATACATTTTATACTCAGTATTAAATATACTTTGACATAATTTACATAGGAAAATGTTAATTATGTTGTATATAAATGTTTGCAGACAACGTGACAATGTGAACCTTTGTGGTACAGCTCCACTCGTCTGCTCTCCAGACACAGGAAATTGAGATTAGGGTCATTCTGGTGCTGCGCCACACTGAAAATCTTCCCTCCCTCCAGGTCGAGTACAATCTCCCCATGACTCTGGTCCTCCTGAATCAACAAAATGAAATACGGAGGGTTAAATACAGAAATTTTATGTAAAAAATACATGAATTTTAGATTTGTAACACCACCAAACAGAAAAAAATGAACAGAGTAAATATTTAAGACCTGATGCAGTGAAACACATCAGTGCCAACATGATGTTCAATGTCCTTCTAATAATATGATGAGCAGTCATCAGCCTAACCTTTCTGTCAGTTCTGGCTTCAAGCCGTCCTTTGCCGATAATCACAGTGAGCGAGAGGAGGCTCAGGTTGTGGTTGGGACGGGGACCTGACTTTCCAGCTGATTCACTGGCCAAGTAGAATGGAGGCTCATCCTCCTCTGAATCAGAGTCTGTGAGAGAAAAGAGATGAATTTTATACTTATTACTGTCATTCAACAAAGGAGGATCAAACATCATACATATCAAAATACAACACTAAACCTGCTTGATTGATAAAAAGAAGTTTGGGCAGGCATGGAACTACGTCTCAAACTCACCCAGTCTGAAGGCCGACTTGCAGAGCTGGAACTCGTCATGACGATGGCGGCTGTGGTTGGGGCTGTTGCCTGAGGGGGGAGGAGGGGGAGGAGGCTCCCACATCAACAGGTCATTGTTGATCCTTTTGGTGAAAGAGGCAGAAAGAGAAAAGCCTTGGTACTTCTAATTCATGTCCAACATAGAAGCATAGCAGGATATTAGGTGAATAAAACGATGTTTAAAGGCAGATTGCGTAAATGCATCTTGTAACACTTAATTTTGAGTGAACCTGAAGAACAACAAAATCTTGTGAACAAATAAGAATCTATTATTCATTGAAGATGTTCTGCTTAAGATAATTTATAGCATTTTCCAACTTTTGATGTGCTACCTGGATGATCTGAGCTTGGATGAAAACAATCACTTTCACGCAAGTCTCTAAATACCTGTTGTAGATGCTCTGGAAAGCCTGTTTACTGGGCAGAAGAATGTAGGCCAGTGGCAAGCTGATGTCCACGGCACACTGACACTGAGCAACACACTGCGTCTGAAACTGACGCATCTCCTCTGGGTCGGCTGGAATCACCATCTAAAATAATTATGGAGGAGAGAACAAGATTTAAATCGGGGAACGTTGATAAAATGGCAGATGAAAGAGACATGTCATTTTTGTGTGCGTCACCACACCTCCTCAGTCTCAAACATGGTGCGGTTTGAAGAGAACGGAGAGCTGGTTTTGTCATTGAGTTCACAGTGACTTTCAAAGAAGGCGGCCCCCAGGTCCCTGATGAGGTTGGTCCCACTCAGACCTGCTGCCGGGCCTTGAGCCTCACCTCCACGCACATGCACTGATAACCTGTTCATGACGAAAGATCCATTTTCAAAGGTGATACTGGTTTCTGGTAGAAACATTTTAACAGTATCTGTCTGATTTGACGAGAGGTCATAAGTCATTTTAGAAGAAGAACTTTTTCTCAGAGAGTATTAATATTGATTGCTATTTTATTCTTTTTTAGATTATCACAACTGACCTGGGGAGAGAGTCATGGTTCTTCTTCACTCTGATACAGGGGAAAGAGCCGCCCTCCCAGTCCTCATATGACCCTGGTGAGACACATCACATCAGTAATTCACACTGAAGTCTCCTGATTTATTATTTAAATCCAAAACATGAATATTTAATAAATGTTCAGCAGTATTTGTCAGCACTTAACACTTCTATGAGACATATTTTCATTATGTAGTGATTTTTAATATATTTAAACCCCAGGCTCCATTTGACACCATACGTCTTCAGAGTCGGACTATAATCAGTCTGATATCATGCAGCCTGACCATGGCATTAATTGTCTTATTTATTGCTTGTTTTTAACATATGTGCCCAGACCTTCCTGCTTTAACAAAGACAGTGAGACAAGCTTTAGTTGCTGTTTTCATAGATCATCTGTCGTACAACTTCAGTGACAAATGCAGTCTCCCCACCGTGCAGGTCAGTGAAGGACGCCTCCAGCAGCTGGGTGAGGCAGGGAGCCCACGGCTGTCCCGGCGCGGTCTGGCTGCCCTGGAGGTCCGGGGCCTCCTGGTGCTTCAGTTCCAGCTCCGTTAGTTCCAGCACCAAGATCTCCTGCCGCACTGCCCTCTGAGTTGGAGGCCGACGCTTAGGGAGGGGGCGCAGGTCAGGTATGGGGAAACGCAGCCTGAGGACAGCGTGTGGGGAGATGAGGGTGAAGGAGGAGTACAGCTCACTGCTCTGGGTCTGAGAGAAAAGAAAATGAGACACATAGTTAGATGAACATGGATTTTACAGATAGTTACTCCTGTAGTTAGTGTTTAGCAACTGAAGAGCTTTAGTGGAAACCTTGACAACTGAGAATGAGCTTATTTACTTTCATATCAAATATGATTGGTCAGACATGGTGGGATACTTTATCTGTCCCAAATTAGGATTCTCCATTTGTATCAGGCAAATCTAACATTCCATAACATACTTTGATGATGGAATAAATGTCTGTGGGCTCCAACCTGTATAAGTCCAGGTCCGGCTCTCTGTGTGGGGCAGTGGCTGAAGGCTTTGCTCAGGTTCCCCAGGCGACTCAGGATGTCCAGGTCCAGCTCGGCACAAAGCTCCGCCAGCTCCACCCGCACCACACTGTCCCGACGCACCACCCGCTGTTTACCCTGAGAAACACAAACACATGTTCAAGACTGATAGGGTGAAGTTTTTCTCATCTGTTATCCTGCCATCCTCCAGGGACATGACACGCATCATTTTCTTGCTACAAACCAACCATGAGGGAACAATTGCTGTTGCTGCAATGAATTGCTGCTTTACTATTTCAAGTAGCTTAACATGTAATAATGTTTAATTTGAGTATGTTTTCCTGTCTTCTTTAATAACTTGTTAACTCTTACAGGCCTTCCTCAAACAGAAGTTTTTGTCAGATTTGTTTTTAACACTGAAGCATTTAAATCTAACTACTTAACTATCAAACATTATACAGTTTATTGTGTACATTGAAATAGAAGGAACAAGGTGTGTGTGTGTTTAAATGTGTACCTTCCGCAGGTGTCTTTCACTGAGGCTGTAGTGTAATTGGGCACATGGTCTGGCTGCAGCTCCAATTGTGAACAGACCAGATTTCTGGAACTGAAGCAGCTGGAAAGAGACAAAGACACTTTGTAATTTAAATTCATCATCATTGGCTCAACAACAGAGAAACAAGCATAAACTACCTTCAGACAAGAGGTGAAAAAAATTACCATCTAAAAGGATCAGCTTCGATTTGGGTCACCTTCCATTTTTTCCATCTATACACCTACCGATTATCATGTTTCCATGCTCTCAGTCAAACATAAGACACTGTTCTGTTACAAAATAGAAATGAAGAACAGCTGTGGTAGCAGTGTTCACTCATTAAAATGTACACTTTACAATGACTTATGTGATCACTTATTACCTCCACCAAGGAGGATATGTTTTCATTGCCATCTGTCTGTCAGCAGGTTTAATCAAAAACGATTGAATTGATTTCCATGAAATTTAGTGAAGTATGGCATGACCCAAGGAAGGGCCCATTAAATTTTGTAGTGGATCCAGTAGAATGGGCAGATGCACTCACCGAGCGCCCTTCTTCTTCAGTAATGGCTTCAATGAAAATACAATGACCTAATGTGACAAAGCTGTAATTTAAGAGTTACAGTTTTAAAGTTCTACCTCATTGTACTGAGGCTTTCCGTCCTCCCAGAGGCACTCTAACAGCTCAAGCCTGCTGAAGGAAAGGTCAGAGGTTACGGCTCGGCTGTGGCGCCTCCCGCTTCGCGTCTCACAAGCAACCTGCACTGCTGCTCCTGTCAGTCTGGGAAAGAGGACACAGAGAAAAATTAGTCACTCTAAGAGAAGAGAATAAAATTTTCCAAATTTCAAATTATTATTTGGACTATGGCATTTGGCAATTTACATAATGTTCATATATTTCTTAAGTGCTGAAAGTCCTAAATAAGTACTTAAAACCCATTCTACAATAAGACATTTAACGGAAAGATATGTCCAATAAAATGTAACTGTGCAAGGACAAAATATGTGTTTTTCTACCTTAGATGAGAGTGTGGACAGGCTTTGGAAAAGCCACTTCTCAGATGATGGAAGTCTCTCTCACTGAACATGCTGTCTCTGAAGAACGCCAGCTCCCGAAAGAACACCTGAGACACCTGGGCCAATGATGAGGCTCTGTCAAGGCTCGTGGGCGGGTCCTCCTGCAGCAGAGTTAGGGTGAGCCCGCCAAGCGTCAGACGCAACAAAGCTTCAGGCTTCAGCTGCTCTGATTGGCCACTGTGTGAGCGTCCTGCAAGGAAGAGGACGAGAGTTCTGATTTAAGTCATCATACTTTGTTCAGAAAAGACTGAAAAGTAAGAGAAAGTCAGTAAGGAAGCTTAAGGTGTAATTATGTTAAAGAACAACTTAAAGTCTGACTGTGATTGAATTTTTAATATTTAGTTTGCTGATTCTACCTCTGGTGCGAGTGCTGGCCTGCGGTAGATTCGACAGACAGCCAGCTACAGGATACCTCCTGGGACAGTTCATCATGCCCTGGCCGGGAAAATCAAAGTGGGAATAAGATTGCTTTTGAATTTACAAGTACATTTACAAGTCACAAGTTCCAGTTCTTTGTTTGTTGTTCTCTGTTAGTCTGGTAAAAATACTAATACTTTATTAGTCTTGGAAAATACGAATACAAACAAATACTTATATTGGCTGCTAATCAAAGCTTATTGTGCTAATAAAGGAAAAAGAAATAAAGGATATTATCTTCCACTTTCTGCTGGTTTTCAGTCTTGGAACAACAGTCATCTGCTCACACACGCACGCACGCACACACACACACACACACATACACACACACAGTACCTGTCCAGAAAGTGCTGCAGGCTGTGTGAAGCTGGCTAGACTGTGTGTAGAGGACTCCATATCGCTGTCTGACAGCTCACTGCCGGAACGTACAGACGTCACGCTACTGCTCATCCCAGTAGGACCCATAGAGAAAAACATTTCTGTAGGATCACACACACAAATACCATTTAAAGTTTACACAGCATTAAATACCACAATGTTGTTTTCAAATCAGAGCTAATATTATTGGTCCTGTATATGTGTGTGTGTGCCCTGTCTTGCCGGTCCTTGATTGGCTGGAGCTGCATTACCATGAAGTTAACTGGATGTCTGTCTAGTTAAAGTAAAAACATTCCTCACTTTGGAATGAGGCTATTCATATATAGATTAAGAATAAAATTGTCCGTTTCTGGCGTGATTACAAACTCCATGCCTTCAGTCTCAGGTCTACTAAAGTTGTGTTGCATCTCAGACAGATTCATTACAAGTGAATGTTTGCTGCTCTGTGTACCTCCATTCTCCAGGCCAGTGACATAGGGCTCCAGGTCAAGTTCTGAATCCCACTCCCTGTCCCTGGGACTGGAACCAAGCTGTTTACTGAGATCTTCTTCAATCATACGCAGGTCGTCTGAGTCTAACGGGCGGCTGTGCACTCCACCACACTTGGTATCTTGCTCTGAGTGAGACAGAGGACAAACAAATTAATTCATATTATGCGTGGAAGGGAACCAGACAGAGAGTGTGTTAAATCTTGTTTATGAGGAATTTGTAGATGTGTTGCTCTGAGCTACTGAGGAAACAGAGCAGGTTTATCAGGATTATTGTTCTTTGTCTCAGTGGGCACTAGTTTCTAAACACTAAGAAGAAATGAATAAGTAGTGAATTTATGGTCGTATTTTGTGTGTTGTTGTGTAAGAAACCTTTTACTCATCATAAACACTAAGGATGGAGAAATTAGTATTTGTCCTTTCTCTCATATTGAATATCAATTGTATGTGGAATAAAGAAAATTATCTAATTTCCATTTGATTATTATTATGTCCACAGAGCAGTCTTTGCCTTTACATTAGTTTAGTTTATCATTGTTTTAGTGAGTGTACCAGTGTCTATGCAGAGAGCTGCCAGCAGGTCTGTCAGATGGGTTATTTGATCTGGAGTCAGCAGCATGTGGACACAGCCCACCTTCCCATCCAACTCCAACTAATGAATACAGAGAAAGAGTCAGGATACACAAGTCAGTATGAGAGAACAGCTGTGTTTACTAAACCTTCAGTATGACCACACATGAACACGCCAACACACCTTTGGTCCAGGCAACATGTCATTCTTTTTGATCTTGAAGGTGGTCTCGATGAAACCAGAGCAGCTTCCTATGAGCAGTGGCTGAGATGTCGGACAGGGAGGGACAGCCAGCGGCTTTGGCTCTTCCTCATCATCTTCTTCACCCTCCTCCTCCTCCTCTCCTTCACTTGCTGGCGCTGAATCTGGGTGTTCCTCCTCAGGAAAACCCTGAAAAATGTCAAATCTTTGAACATTTCTTATTATAGATTGTTGATACCTAAAATATTAGTCTGGGCTTTTTGTCAGGACGAATAAAGATATTGTGGAACATTTCCTTGTTCACAAAAAGCAATTGCTGCCATTTATTCACATACAAAAGGAGAGCTTAGTGAAAGTTTCTGCCTTCTTAACTTGCATAAAATGCGGTCATCACTGCAGGATGACCAAATTAACTTATCTCTGTTTGAAAGAGGCTGAGACTTCCTCGGATTTAATAATAAGACTATGGCACGTGAGCAAGTAAGTCAATCTAACAGATTAGACAGCGCATCAACATATTAATGAGGGTAGATAACTATGTGGAAAAAGGTTTGCTTAGTAAGTCACTGTGGTGTTTATCACCTGCACTGTGCCGATGCTGTCATAAAACAGCTGAACAGCGCTCAGCTGGAGGATCTTGTGAAGGAAGGCAGGTGGCTGGTGGATGTCGACAGGCACAGCAGTCTGGCTGGCTGGATCTCGCACCGCCTCGTCAAAGTATTCCAGCCTAGAGCAACACCATACAAACAACATTATTTAGTGCCATAACTAAAAATGTATTCACTATATGTAGGAAAAGGTGTAGATATTAGGCTGAAAAAAGGGGGCTGCTATTCCTCCAGAGAAAATGAAGAAGTATCCATACCTGAACTGTGACAGCAAGCCAATTATTTTAATATACCGTGGTTTTAAAAACAGTATCCCACTAAATGACATCATCAGTACAAGTAGTACTTAAAATTGTGGTCTGACCCTGTGAAGTACAGTGACATCACAAGTACCTTGATCTCTTCAGAACAGATGATCAGAGAAACAACAAACTGCTGGTTTGATAAACACTACCACTGTAATGTGCTTCATGGAACTCAGATCATTTGTTCCGTTAAAAATCAGGCTGTTGTTGAAATGATAGAGCCTCCTGGTCACTGAACCCAGATCATCCCGAGCATACCGAGAAGATTTGTCAATAAGTTAGGAAAAATAAAGGGTTCAACAGTGTCAGGATAAAATACCAATGGATAACAACTTAAATTATAGAGAACATCATTAAATAATTATTGTACGTGTTGTGATTACTATTTTATCCATAGTGATACAAGCAGTAAATCTATCTGGTTATCTATAGCCAATCAGCCATCAATGTAAAGCTTTACTACTCCCTGACATCACATATTGATAACAACTTAAGTGCAGCCTGCAGTGGCATGTGTATGTATAGTATATATAACCCTAATAATGAGAAAGGACCTCTTCAATACTGACACTGTTTTAAATGGGATTTACACTGAAGTGTACAAGGACAAGTTCATAACAGAGCAGGAGCTTCTTCTCTTTATCTGCTGAGGACGGGAGAGAAATTTAATTCCAGGCTTCCATTTCCCTCAACACTAGCAGTAATATAAGAGATGTGAGTGATAATAAGTGGAATACAGCAACCAAGAAGCTGTTAGTCAAAAAATTGGATAAATGTTTTTAAATGTTGTCACCTGAAGTGCTTCATAGTTTTTATGTGTTTAGGACACTGGTCCATTTATCAGAACTTGCTCATGTGTGTACTGACAATTGAGGCCCAAATATTGTGTTACACTCTTGCTGTGACATTTCAGTAATAATACCACTATTATTTATTTCTATATTTTAGAATGTTTTCATTAGTATTTCAAAATGTGATGAAAATTAACTAACTATGAATTATTCATATACAATATAAATCCTACATTTACTGTGGTATTAACAAAGAAATTAACATATCAACAAAATAAATTTAAAAAACAAGAGGGATGGACAAAACTCAAAAGGCCTTAAACAACAAAAACATTAAATCAAACCTACCGTTTAATGTGCATTTCTAAGGCAATGCCTGTTTCCAGGTCCTGGGGCTGGTGCTCGATGCGAACGATAGTGTCTATAAAGGTGACTTTAATACGACGAAGGACTGCGCAGACACACAGAGGAGATGAGAGACATGCAAAGCATCATTAGTACTGATGTTTCAGAATATCTTTTCTTGGTTGTGATGCAAGTATTCATCTAAGTGGACAACTACTCCAACTAATATCATAAAAACAAGATCACAGACGCCTTACTGAATACAGAGAGTCATGGGAAAAACGCCACAGGTGAAATAAGTTTAATATATTCTCTGAGGGACGAGCATACGGACAGACAGCCCAACACATATTAACAATAGATCTTCATTAAGATCTGACAAACACATAATGAGTTTGAATTATATTCCAGCCAGAGGTGTCACTCTGCTCAACTGCTGTTGCCTGATACATAGCCCACAGAGAGCGCTACATAACAAGCATTGGCTCGTTACCTGTATGTGTCAAAGAGTGAAACGCAACATAACCAGAGAAATGTAACAATTTAACACAACACAAATAAGTTTATATACTTGTACTTTGTATGAAAATAAACGTAATCTCACTAATATAGTCAGAGTGTACAAAGTTTACTTAGGGAAAGTTTGCTTGTCTAATGTTGACTGTGTGATTTGTTTACAAAGACAGGACACATACTCACACACATCCTTGACTTACCCGTCTCAATGGTTTGTGCAAACATCTCAAGCCCCTCCAGTGGGGCAGGTGGCTCCTCTGACGCCTCTGGGGGGTCTTTCAGGCACTCCTGAGCCAGCTGCATGCTGGAGGTCATGCTGGATGACCAGCCCTGTGAGTCCCAGCCCCCGCCTGAATGCAAACAAAACAACATTGGATTCAGTCATGTCTGTACTTCAGGGCTGCTGTGTAAATGCTTTATTACTGAAGATTAAAAAACAGCCTTGCATTGACTATTTACACTCATTTTGTCTCTGTGCTTTAGCAGAGACAACATGCAAATTAATAATTTCGGTCATACAGTAAAATAGAAACTTGCGGGGATCCCCTTACTCATCCTGAGGCTAAGTGATGTCAAGAAAACCCCACAGGTGGACTGGAGAAGTTGTTTTTTGGTAAACTTACTGGTCCGGTACTTTGGTCGACATGTTATCTGAAGACCAGAAACTTCTAAGGTGCAGTGATCAGTCAGGAGAGCTTGCCAGGGGATGGTCACCACTATGCTGCACACAAAACCATCCACTATCTCCAGGGGAGCTCCCAGAGACTCCAACAGCTCGTTGACCGCCTGGAGTAAACAGGGAAGAGTGAGAGATGAGTGTAAAAGCCAAAGAAATGAGAGTAACTTGTTTCATATTTGTCTCGGGAAGTGCATCGTAAGCAGGAGAGGGAGTGTTTAGACAGTAATGACAGATGCAGCTAATCTGGTGGCCTGATGATGCCTCTTTCCTGTGAGTGCATTTCTTCGAAGAAATGCGAGCTCGGCTGAGAGCATGACGCTGGAGATTGTTGTTGAACTCCGAGAGCAGTTGCGAAACAGTCTGGGGAGCACGAGTCCAACAAAAACACACAGTGAGGTGCTGTGGTCGGAGACAGACACCAGCTCCAAACAAAACACAACCTCCAGTAACTCACCCAGACATCGAGGTTGATTTCCTTGATGACACCGCTGCCGTTGTACAGGTCCAATCCCAGCTGGTCCAGGCTCAGTCTCTCCTGCAGAAAGTGGCCGAGGTAGTGCTGCAAGAGGTACCGACAGGCCCGCTTCTTGATAGAGCCCGACCAGGGGAAGAGCCAGCGAGACATAGGGCCAGAGAGAGCGGGGAGAGGGAGCGAAGAGGTGGCGGAGGAGAACGAGTGCGGCTACAGTCCTCTGGCAACTGCATAACAGGCGAACACGAAGTGTGCAAAGAACAAGGAATGAGCCACAGCTAGCTACGAGGGGCTAAGGAAGGGTCGAACCGCAACTCTACTTCTCCCCGAGGTCTGACACAAAAAACTGAAAATACTTGGTGTCAGGACGGACGAGGCTCCCGCGTTACTTTACTCCAACTGTCCGCGGCTGTGTCAGCTCATGTTTTCGCTAAGTTTGACTTGATTCGGAGCGACAGGTCCCGTCAGTGCGTATCTCTTGTTTCAGGGTTGTTTATTGTTATCATACGCTGACTGATGGTATGGCTAACGTACGTGCGTCATCACGTCGAAACCCGGAAAAGAGACGATCGATTCCAGTCTCGACTCCGGCGCCATCTTTGTAAGGTCAAATAAAGGAAGTTTGGGCAATTTCTTTCAATATAACTCTAAAATATGAACACTTTGTCGGAGAAGGCCTCTGTTCCAGCATGACTCTGCCCCAGTGCACAAAGCAAGGTCCACGAAGGCACGACTGGGTGAGTCTGGTGTGGAAGAACTCAAACACCTTTGGGATGAACTAGAAGTGAGATTGCAGCCAGGTCCCCTCGTCCAGCATCAGTGTCTGTCCCTCTTTATATACAGTCTATGGTCTGTCCTCACAAAGGCTCTCCTGTAGGTGTAAGGTGCATGTGTCCCGATACCTTTGTCCATATAGTGAATGTTGGATACAGCAAAACATGCCATTGTCCTTAAGTGCTTTCACAATGATTGATAACCACCTTCACCTTTTCTAATTATTCAATATAAGTAAACAGTAAGTCATAATATAAGATAATGTCTCCACTGAAAAAAAATAAGCTACTGACAAGAAAGTAAACTGTGTTAACACATTTTGAATTTAGAGTTTGGGAAACATTGAAGGTGAATATGGAATTAGTTATTTCATATATACTTATATCAATGAAGATCCACATCACGTACTTAGCTCAGATCTAGATAATGTTTTATAAATAGAAGTGATCTTCAATAGAGTGGAAAGTCAACTAATAATTTGCAAACACTTAAATATATTAAGTACAAAGTATATAAATAGTTATAAAAGAGAGAAAGAGGATTTGTGCCATGTTTAGCAGCTTGGACAAGTTTAACACTGGAGACACCATCATCTCCACTTCAAATGAACATCATAATGTATTTATCAGCAAATGTTGAAATCTTTTTACATCCCAATACTGATGTATTTGTCCGTCCCAGTTTTTGGTTTAATATTGAAGTTGTTAGAGCCGTAGTTGTGTCCATATATTAGCTAACTCTTGAGGAGCCTGCTCAGTCGTCTTTAAGACAACTATTTTAACGTGCTATATATAAGGAGACTGAGAGAAGTTCTCAAATCTCCAGAAAAAAAGCAAAAACTGGATCTTTGAGTTAAGATTTTTCCATGTTTTCCTGATTATATCCAAATTTAAAGGTTTAACTTTGATACTCAAATATATAAATAAAATATTGTCAAAGTGAAATGTATCAGTTGTGAGAAAATATTTTTATTGTTGAACACAATACAAGTCCAGCCATCAGTCTTTATTCCTATGAAAACATGTAGTGAACGTCTATACAAACCAAACACTAAGATTACTGTAATAGCTTGGATCTTAACATCAGTTGTTTGGTCAAACTGTTGACATTTGGCTGCTAAAACAAAGCAATAATCAAAGTAAAGTGACCTTGATCATTTTTTAAAAACAAACAAAAGAAGCCAACAGTAAAAATTAAACAAAAGGCATAAATAAAATTACTGCAGATTTCAGTATGATTCAACTCTTCATTTAATGAATGCAACATCAGGAATATGGCCATCCGCCTGGAAAGAGAGAAAAGTGTTTTAGAGCATTGCTATGAAAACGATCACACAAATGAATGACTGCAAATCAAGTTACCTTTAACTGAGTGAAGATTTGTGCCGCTCTGTTGAAATCCCATTCGTTGTCTTGCAGACACCTGTAACACAGAACAAGTGTTCAGATATTTTGAGTTATCTAAATGAATGTCTATCGCACTGAAACACAACATGGGGATAAAAGCCTTACTTTTGGGACCATTCCAGGTTCATGCCAGACTTCTGTGAGAAGGCAGTGAGCATCTCCTGCTGCGGTGCGGTGAGGGTGGGAACAGGGCTGGAAGAAGGAGTTGGGGCGGGAGCTACAAAGGCGCGGCGGATCTCCTCTGTTGTGGCCATTCGGATAAAAAGCTGGTCGTTCACGATGCACAAACTACAACACAGAAGAAACAGACAAAATTAAGTTTCAACGCTTCAGGAGGTGGTGGACTTACTCCTCTGAAAAGTGTTGGTGGTCGTCTTAATTCGCTAATAAAAGGCTTTGAGATACTTAGATACTTGTGACTGTTAAATAAATAAAAATAAACACAATTAAAATATTTGTCAGAACAATTTTTTGGGGAAAATTAGGCTAGAAATATAATTTTTTTATATTGGGGAAAAATCAAACAAATCCCAACAGTTATGTAAGTGAGATTGTCTTATTTTATTATTATTCATGATGTTTAAAGTGCAGAAGACAAGGATGGTATTTTCTTGGTGACCCACAACTGCTGTTCCTATTGTTTGTACTTGGAAACAGGCACTTTCTACAGGGAAATCAAGATGGACAACAGGAAGACCATAGAAACCATTGGGAGCTCCCTAAACGTACCCAGAACCCCCTGCTGGGACTGTGATGAAAACTCGAGAGAAGGCCATGGTAGAGTCTCGGGATTTACCGTCAACAGCAACTGTAAACAACAGACGGGACATAAATTAGTCATAAAAGTAAGCATTGTTTAATCTTTACAGTGAGTGGGAACCACATTTAAAATCATTACTCACCTTCTTTGAAGACACCACTCACAGTGAATGACAGCAGCGTGTTCTGTAGACAAAGGTTTTTAAGGAGTTAATGGAAATGATCCACAGTGAGACGATGTTGCCTCAAGTACAGGCCAAAATAACAAACATGAACTCACTGTGTAAGTGTTTACATCGACAGTAAAGGAGGCGATGTCGTGCTGAGTTTTGGGCAACTCGTTGATGAAAGCAACCACGTTCAGCCGCGTGTGCTTCAGTAGTCGAAACCTCATAGCTAAAGAGGGAGAGATCCAAAGAGGGAAAAAACTCACATTACAAAAATATTCAGTGTCAACTATTCAGATGCGATGATGGTTGCCATGTAGTAACTAGTCTACAGCCCATGTAGACCTAACCACAAAACCCACCTACTCACTGAGTGGCAGTTTTTTTTCTTTCCTCCACAGAGGATGCTGAAGCATATACAAATATACACAGTATATACAAATATACATTTCTGATGTTGTTTCCCTTTTGAACAATAATTGATGATTACTAATGCGACACAAATATAATATAAAGTCTTGCTAGATATGTCAGGCTGCTGTCATAGTCAGTTCATATTTAACCTATATTAGAATGTTTCATTGATATTATTCCTATGCAGGTTATGGTAATCACAGTCATTCACTGAATCATGTGCTGCTTATTTCTTATTGTTTATAGCAGACCGATGGCAGCACTGCCACTTCCCCATCAGTGAAAGATTTTGAAAGGTAAACTCACTTGAATCTTTGATCCTTTTCAGGTTTCGAGTGTCTTTGTGATATTCTCCCAGACTGCTCCTAAATGCCAGGAAAGACAGAATCAATGAGAATACAGCTCAGACTCAGGCTACCGCCACACTGATGATTTTATCTTAAAACAGGGATTTAAAACTCAGACCATCTCCGTCCAGATGAGCATTCTAGCTCTAAAGCAAACTGTCTATTTGCATAAGGTTGTTAGGTTGCAGAAAATGATATAAACAAAACAGCTACAGTAAAAAATAAGTGCCTAGTTTTTTTCTTTGCTTGGACTTATCTGTTAGTCCAGTAGTTACTATTAAGACCACATCAGGATGCAAATGTGGGTGACTGCATCTTCTTTTTCTCAATAATCCGTCTGTCCTTACTAAAACACAACCCCTGAGTTTTCAAACCAAAAAAGGACCAGCAGCTTTTTCAAAAGTCTCCATTGAGGTACTAAACATAGTACGGATGCCAGTCATAATTGTTGCAAAACAGATGTCTTTAAAACTAAGATGGACAGCTGTGGATGTAGCTTGGATAAGGAGGAGTGGGCTCAGAGATAACAGCAGCCCATGATGGCTGGAGCTCCACAAAGATGAATTAGTGCATCACATTCCCAGTGTCTTTGAGCATTGTTCTTACCTGGAGGGGTTCTGGGTAGAATAAGGAGTTGTCATGGATAACGATGCTCCATCATGGTAAGCATCAAGAAGCGGCTGTCTGTCCCCAGAGTCGTATATGCTGTAGTACCTGCAACACAATCACATGCAACACTTTTCTTGTGTTCCTGAGATTATAACTTGCACACAAACCTTTTTGAAGGTGAAATGAAGGTGTTTTAAAGCAGCGCTAATTAAAAAGCCACTAGTTGGGGTAATATAACCAGAGTATTAACCTTGGAAAATGGCCAGTAATTAACAGACTATTTATATAGACACTCACTGTTGTAGAAAGCGAAGAATGAGAGCCTTGATTTCATCAGTTCCAAAACAGCTGCCCTGGATTATCAAATTGAGAAAAAAATGTTGTTAAAAAATAGTTTCACATGGAGGACAGTGCATCTTAAACTTACACATGTAGTGAAAGACAAGAATACAATGTTTCAAAATTGATGTATCAATCACATGATAAAACAAGTAACCTTGCACGGTGGGATGGTGGTGGGTGTTTCCACATCAAATCCAATGGGTGGGGGGAGATCATGACCATCCTTAAAAAAAACAAGACATATTAGCAGTTCTTTAAAGATGTCACAGACTTGAGATGCTGATAGTACTCATGACCAGCTTTAACAGATAGAAATACAAATCTACAATAAGCTCATAAAGATGGAGGAAATGCAGCCACACTGTAAAATGACATAAAAGCTATCAGATGTTTATTGTTATATTAATAAGAGGGTGCCAGAAAACCCAGAGTTTCTCATTACGTCCTTACTCAGTGTGGTTCAATTGCAACCAACTTCGTATATGTATTGAAAGAACAGAGGCTAATGATAAATGATGAGGCGAGATAAACGTGTAGACTCACCAGTTTGAGAAGCCGAGGAAACCTCTGCCGCACAGCACTGGTACAGGAACAAAAATCAAGAGCAGGAAAGTTATCACAAAAGACCACATACCCACACAGCTGTAATGTGTGTGATGTTCAAAACTATAATGCCACAGACAATCACACTCACAGACCCCCTTAATGTTTTTTTTATTCCCCTCAGTTGTTGTCATTTTATGCTGTAAGGTTTGCAAGAAAATTTAGGAGAATACAGACATGTACAGATACACGGAAATTGTGTAACCACATCCAGTGTCTCAAAGGACTTATTCTTCAACAACAAATGGTGTCTTGTACACACTGTCATCCTTCCTTCAGTTTCATGCTGTACTCTTTGGCTCTTCTCCCACCCCAAATTTTACTTACCAGCAGGTACTCACCCTCTTCCCCAATATGGGTCTCTACACAGATATGACATAGGGAAGCAACATAAGCACACTGATTCTAAGAGCGCACACATACAAACATGCAGAGACCCACGACTGCACTGGAAACCAGCAAACACATCCATGTTTATTAGTAAAATACTGGGAGAGAGGTGGCCAGGAGTCTGGTGTCAACTCCCCCCAAACTCTGGCCCAGATGTGGGGGAGCAGATGAATCTACATCACGACAAAATCAAACAGGGTCTGGGTAAAAAGAATATGTAAAGTAAAATGCACACAGACACCAACACAAGTCGTCTATCATTCAGAAGACAGAGACAATTGCTAAACATCATGTGAGGGATTTTCCCAGTGTGTGCGCCCATGATTATCAGCAAAGAAAGACAACCCGAGAACAGAGCTCAACAAAAAGGACAGGTGGCCTCAAAGTGAGCTGGACCCAACAGTCCCACCACTCATCCTATAGTCTTCCTCTACTGCACAAGCAAAACAGTAATCACTGTCGCATAGTTACCATCACTTCTGAACAGATGGGTCTTCATGCACTAATAGTAGATGGACTGTTTTCCTTCAGACCTCAACCCTCTGGTTACAGACGGACTGGGATATTAGACATTTATGATCTCTGCTGAATATTTGAGCTTTATCTACTCGTCACAGCCGTCAGAAACTGGAAGAGTGTGTTCTCACTTATGTTGACTTATTTCGGGGCAAAAGTGAACTTGGGAGTTCAGAAATCACTTCCCTCAGAAGTTAGTAAAGGTGGCCTGTTTCAGGCCAGATAGAACCAAGTTAGTGGAAGAGACAAACAGTGTTTTCTCTTTGGCTCATCATTGGTCATTAATGACACGTATCCACTTTACTTCAGCCCAACGGCTTCTCCTGTGGAGTCCCGTCTTCTCAATTTCTTCCCGTCACATTCTTAGTGAGCCAGAGCTCATGGGGACTGAGGCGGAGTAATCGTGACTGTGCCTGCCTTAGGTTGTCCCATGTTTTTGAGGTGGGATCTTACCCGTCATAGGCTATCCAGCCTTCCATACTCGCCTGATACAGGGATCCCAGTTGCCAAGGATGCTACAAAGGGATCGGAATCATTGGCTGTGGCTTTTCTTTTGTTTCATCCAAACATTTGTCAAGACACCTGTGGATTGCCCTCTCTTCAATAAACAAAACTACGCTGTGAGATAATAATGCTCAAGATTGTGTTGGATTGATACTTTAAAAGCAGTAGATCATGTAGGAGGACTGTCATGCTGACGGTCTCCTTTAAAGTGTCTTAACAAGGGTTTTTAATATAAGCCGTTAAGTGGTGGCATTTTTACTGCAGGTAATGGAAAACTAACTAGGATATCAGCAGAGGAGTGCTGGGTACAGCAACACTGAGCACCATAACAGAGACCAAAGCATGATAGGATGTCCCTCATAAAAGGTGAATAACTGCAGGCAGCTGTTCAAACTGTGGAAAGTTAAAGCAAGCTGAAAGGAAAACAATGTGGAAGCACATCTCGGTTAGATGATCCTCAGAAACTTTAAGTTAGGAAGTGTTTGTTAAAAGAATGTTGAAAAAAGGAAACATTAATTATCAAGTAGAAAGAAATTATTTGAAGTAACTGCAGATGAATTCATTCATTTCTACTTTGGTGCAATGTATACAATATGCGTTTTATATTGTTTATATATTTAAATATGTTTCCACACAACAAAAACACAAAATAGACAAAGACAGGGAGTTAAAATTGAATGTCAGCTGGCTCCTTGAGATCATCCTTTACTGTTAGGGAAACAGTTTCGTTATCACACAGGCAACTTGCTGTTTGATCCGCTCGAGTTTATGATACACATGTTTAAACCTGCAACACAACACGAGACGTCAGGACATCAGGGTTAAATCGATAATAACTATTTCAGAATATAGGACTAGATGAGGAATATATGATTATCAGTTCCTGTGAGGACACACACACACTCTTGTAGACAGAAGATAAATTCTTCCCAAAGGTTCTGACTCAAAGCGGTGTTTTTACTTTATTGTTGCAGAAGAAGCTACTTCCTGATAAACATCAGTTCTACCTGAGAGTGATTAGAAAACATCAGAGGAGCAGAGTCACTTGTTGACCTGCTTGCTCATATGTTCCGCTTTTTTATTGGGATGGTTATTATTTAGATGACAAACTTAAGATCATATATTTAGTTATTAATCGATGGTGTCAGATAATGAATCCTCCAGTCCTGGCTGTATGCATCACGTCTCATGTTGTACTGACTCATTTTTCATGTTTAAATGCAGCCTGATAAAATCTAGAGCGAATCAAACAAACACCAAGTAAACTTCATGTGATCAGGTCCTAAGACCGTGTGTCGCAGTAATAGATGCGTCTGTACCGCTAACACCTGGGCCGTGTCTGTGGAGACGTCATGCAGCGTGTGGTCAAACATGGTGTTCCCTCTCACGTTTTATCATAGGTAAACTCATTCATTCAGCGTTCACCAAAAATATGAACGCTGTTTATTGAACTATCATGCACAACACTGAACTGCGCAGGTTAATGCGTCTCAGTGCAGTGGCGCTGATTTGATTTATATCACGATATATAATGATATCAACTGATATGAAAAAAATTATCGTGATAAGATGTTTTCCCATATCACCCAACCCTATTTGCAGCACAATGCTGATTACTCTCGCTACAGAGACACCCCTATTTGCACACAAGCAGTCACACCACTGTGTCCCTTCCATAGTGACTTCACCCCTCATCCCCCAAACTCGCTGACTGACCTGATGTATGAGGCCTGGTCCTTGAAGTACAGACACAGAGGGTTCCTGTTCAGCCACAGCTCCACCAGCTTCAGGCCTTTCACCTTGTCCAGCTCCCGATCAGACTTGAGCTAAACCCCACAGAAACCGAACAACATGGTGTGAGGAGGATTTCAAATACGTGCGGTTATTAGTTGAGATTAAAAGAGCAGCCTGTCTTACCTCGTTGTGGGAAAGGTTGAGCGTCTTCAGATTAGGCACCTTGGAAACCAATTCAGAGAGTTCATCCAGTTTGTGGATACGGTTGTTGCTCAGGTTCAAGCAAGTCAGCTGGCAACAGTCAGATAAGAAACAAGTACCTTCAGTTTGACCCTTTTCTTAGCATTAACAATGAATAATCATGTGTCACATGTTTTAATCTTACCTCTGGAATGTTTTCTTCAATAATGGTAATGACAGCTTCCATGTGTGTCTTCCGATTCAAGGTGACTTCAACTTTGTGGGACACCAGGTCTGTTACATATTAAGAAAAAATTAAATCATCTAAAATAAAAACCTAGAATTAGAAAATCATTTTACACTCTATTGAATACTAAATGTACAAAAACACCACGGTCTACTTTGATCACAGAAAGAGTCTAATTACCTGGGTCTGTGCGGATGTTATTCAGGTCAAGTGCTTGCTGGGAGCCATCAAAACGTTTTGCCATACATTGCTGTGAAAGATAACAGCAGACATGAGAAGTCAGATCTGCACCGAAAAAATAAATAAATCACAAAATTAGGGGCAACGGCCAAATGAAATTGAATCTAGCTCACCTTCAGGTGCTCTAAGTGTTCAGGCTTCAGGTCAGCGAGGAGGAAGGATGGTGGAGAGTGGGAGTTTACGTGTACCTCAACCTTTAGAGAACAAACATCAGGTGAGAGAGGTTAGTAAATAAAAATACAAGGTAGACATTGAGTTTTAGATGAAATGTGTGTGTCAAAATACCCAGGAAAAGAAGTAGGGATGACTAAAATAGCAATTTAATGTAACAATGATCTAAAAGCTCCAACATACCTTATAACCATCTGTGTCTGTGATCTTGTGAGAACATTTGCGTAAAGCGATAGAAGCAGAGGGATCATCCACGTAGAAATGGGCTCTGTCATGGTCCACATGGTACTGGAGGATTTGGGGAGAGAGAGAAAAACAATCAAGATCCATCTACACAAAGACATTGTGCAAAAAATCTGGGCTGTCAAAGTAAAAACATTTATCTTATCGACACTCAAAGCACTCTTAATGGATTAAAATGCTCTATCCATGCTGCAATTATAAATCAAAGCACTGGACTGGAAGCTCACGCATATCATTCGAAACATTTGCTCATAGAAGACCTTTTAATTTGTACAAAAATAAGAACTATGCTAAAGCCATTTTCAAAATCTATGAGTACCAAATTAGTTTGGTGATTAGTAAACATGTAAATAGAGCAGAAATGACTTAACCTCACCTGTACAGCTGTGAAGGGAATTGAACAAATGTTCTGAAGAGCGGTCAGTAACCATTTCTTGTCATATTTTCTCCCATGTGGTATCTGTCAAACAGACAAAGGAAAATGTGATGTTCTTCAACACATTACAAGCTAATCTGTCTTTTCTCATTTGAATGTTAATAATACTCACTGTTACTTTAGACCAGCCTGACTGGTTCTTTCCTCCTCCTCCATTGCCGCTTCCTCCGCCTCGGTCTCCTCCTCTGAAGCCACCACCTCTACCACCTCCTCCTCTCCCTTGTCGCCTGTCTCTGTCAAATCGTCCTTCTCCTTTTCGGAAAGGTTTCCCATATGGGTTGCTAGAGAACAAAACAGAGATTTAATCAACTCTCCTTCAGCCAGTGTCTGCATGCTCTTGCTGTGCGGAGATATTTTCCAACAAGCCAGGATGAACTGAAGCAGAGTTTCCTTTGGCTTTTCTAAATTTCCTGAAAAAAAAGTCCTGACAGTAATCCTTTTTGTACTGTTGTAAATATTTCTCCCCTACAAAAATGCTTTTTATTTTTTGATGACAAACAGTGACTTATCCCATCAGGCACACTTACAATCTGTGTTGGGAGCCGTTGTCTTGAGAGCCTTCACCCATAGTTACATCTCCATCAGTGTCTTCAAGCCTAGACCGTGGTCCTGGACCTCCAAAGCCACCCTGATGGCCTCCCCGCTGGCGGTCTCTGCGAGATCTGTCATACGACCGTCCCTTGTGAGCGCCTCGGCCTTTGCGATTACGAAATTGTGGTGCAGTTCTATCATCGTGCTCTGACAAAGAAACAGAATTCAAGAGTTACTTAGCAAGTTTGGCAATTATGTCAACACATACATCCGAGAAGTTGTAATGTATCAAATACATCTAAATATAGAATATCAAGTTTCTGACCATGTGAAAAATAATATTCACTACAAGCGGTATATTTTATTTATGATACATTGATATTTATTTGATCACAATAATGATATATATACACTATACTCAAACAGAGGGAATAAACATGGTACAGGACAGACCAGCTCTTTTTAACCGCAGCAATAACTGCTAAAGATGTAGTCTTTGTTTAGACTGGAGTCCATAGCTCGGTAATCAATAAAAAGAAAACGGTTGAAATGATAAGGCAGTGTATAAATGCATGTTCCGATAAATTGCCATGATTAGATCCTCGGGTATCTTCATGTATGTCTGGTTTTACCTTCTTCGACCATGAGATCAGCTCTCCTGACATCTCTCGCCATTAAGTTCCCATGGTCTGAAAATAATTGTACAAGGTGCAGAACGTGTGAGACTCATGCGGTAGTGAAAATGGTTTCTTACCGTTGTAGTAATGTCCGCTGTCCGCCATAGTTCTCGGATATTGATCGCCAAAAACAAAACACCGCAACTCGTGTGGTTAATAAAAGCGTGTTCTCTATTTCATACAACACAGAGGCTGAGACTGCGGAAGAGAGGACGAGAGGACAAACACGACGGCGATCTGATCGCAATCTCTTTAACTTGCTGTTAGCTATTAGCTGTTAGCTCCGATTGCGTGATGATGGAAGGAGGAAGTACTTCTTATACCTTCAACTTCCGGGGTCACGAAATAGCGCGGCCAATTAAAAAAAAAATAGTTACCATGTAAAACAATTTAAAAAGAAGAATGCATTTCCAACGTAAAGCTTAACATACACGCAGCGTGGTATATTGAATGTATTTATGTTTTCACAATAATGAGACCAGCTCTTTACAGTTGCTCTTTATGGATCTACCCAAATAAACTAGCAAAGTTAAAAAAAGGAACAAAAAGAAACATCAGGTCGTTTTGATGAGATGAACCTGCAGAAAATTCAGCTGAAAAAATACACTGACAGAGCCATTTTTGAATATATTTTGGATTTAACATTCCATATAATTTCAAAAAACAACTTCAAATATAGATGAATATGAATGTTTGAATGTGGAATTCACATCGAGTCTTATCATTGAAAACACACATAACAAATTTGAGGAATTATCAAAAAACGATCGCACAAGATTATTTTTTGGCATTATTTTTTACTTATCTTTTAAAATATGTATTCCATTCCTTCATAATTTATCCAACATGTACTGTAACACTACCCTCAGGACACTTCCAAATTAGTTTTACATCTTTAAATCAAACTAATAAAAAAATGAATCTCAAATTTGAATAATTGCATTGGTTTGGTTTTTATGAAAAATAGATTTCCAGGTTTTCCAAAGATAATAATAATAATAAAGTTATACCTGAGGATAAACTCCCTGTTGTGTTGAAGTGGTGTAGGTTTAATTAATATCATTAGTGAAGCTACCTCTCTAAAACAATGAACACAATTACAGTGGTGACAGTACTGATTTTGCAGTCAAGGGTTTAAATACAACTATATGATACCAATCATCTCAACAGATTTGTTAGGGCACATTTTAAACGGAACATTTTAAACACATGGATGTGACTGGATCAGACTCACCGGCAGTCAAAGCACGTGTCACCACCAGGTTGGGGTAATCTCTCCGAAACAAGCTCCAGTGGTTCATCCAGGAAACCTCTTCAAACTCGCTCAGCCTTCAGGGAAACTATCCGGACTTTACGGTGTCGTATAGAAAAAACACGGAGCCGGATTAGAAATGCAAATTTGAACTTTTTGTTGCTTCGCGTCAGTCTGGTGCGCAGTTAATTAGTGTTAGCTAACTTTAGCTAACAGTTAGCATCAACATGGCGGAGCACGCTTCAGGATTCACAGACACACTCCGACAATATTCACCGAGTCGACCGATTAATTTCGTGTTCCGCAGTAATCTGTGGATGTTTTGCGATGATAAATCACGCACCTGTCTGATGCCTCGGTCGGTGTCAGTCGCTCTGTCCCGCGCCACTCTGCTGCAATGTGCCAGGAAAAATCACGGCGACGCCCAGTGGACGGTGGACTGGAGCACTGTGTAACACGAGATACTGCGTCTGGACTGCTTCACGAAACACACCCAAACACATCACTCCATCTCAACGAGCGTCCTGATGAGCAGTTAATGGTCATAGTTCGTGGTGCAGCCGATTTGTGTTTCAGTATTCAGACCTGGGCTGTAACTTCAATACTTAAATGCAGTTTTGAGGTAATTGTACTTTACTTCAGTATCTTATTCCACTACATATTATTTGTAACGCTTTATTTTACTGTAACTTTTACAATATTTCATTTCTTTGATTATTTCCTCCTGCTAAGAAGTTTGCTTCTAATTACACTTGGTTGGTTCAACTTATTGTGTTTGTCAAACCCTACTTGTGATATAAGACGACCGGCTATTCATTGTTTATTTCCCATTTTCACCAGTATAACACTTTCCAGATGCATCATACCATGGTGAATATATATAAAATATAAAATCCTCAATAGTGATATTGCAACACGTGTTTTATCATTATATATTAATCTTTAAAGTATCTTTAGTCTATATGAGACTTACTTAGAACTGCTAGAACCTGAGGGGTTTTTTCAACATTGTAGTAAGAAAGCATCGGTGGTAGAAACATGCATTTGGGGATTTTGGTCCTTCACAAAGGAAATAAAACAGGGAGGACCAATTTCCCGTAAAACAAATCTTCCCCTGTTGTCCCTTTCCGTGAATGAAATGAAGTAACAGTTCAATGGTGGTAATCGCACAAGCATTGTCCATCCAATGGTGAATTAGAGTGTCGTCTTAGGGTTATCTCAACCACATTCCTCAGTCTGCTTCATTAAAATGCTCCCCTCCTCTCTGCTGCTGTCCTCCTGACAGGAGGCCACACTGATGGCCTGGCTCAAAGACGTGATGAGGGAGGTCAGGCCAATGAGGTAGCCATCCTCCCTACTCCCCTCGACCCACGGGATGTTGTGTCGGAGCTTGAACGCGTCCTGCACGGGGGTCGTCTTCCCAAAGTCTATCATCCACACACTGGCCTTGCTGCTATGGTCGTGGACAAAGAGGAGCGAGCTGCCGATCACCTGATCCGATCAAAGATATTACAAATCATTATGAAACAAAGATGGATTTTGGTGAGTGAGGTGAAAATAAACTGGATCAGCAAAGAGATCTCCTGGTGAGTTGTTTATCCTTTATTGCATTAGCTTATATTTCATATCTTCATTTTTCACTTCAGCTAGAATCTAATAAAAAAAGAGAAGCATTGTGTCTAAACCGACCTCATGACTTCTGAAAAATGGTGAATTCATCAGTGCATCGCTCAGGGCCAGTAGTCTGGAGTGATAGGCTTTCTGAGAACAGAGGGGGAGAGACAGGGGAGACTGAAACTTAAACTGTTTCACTGTAACAAGTTGAATCGCTAGTTTAAAATAAATACATTTTATGGTTTCTGTATGATGTATAATATCTTCATACATGTTATGCATTTCTTTGGTTGCTATTTCAATGCATTTGTTTACATGGACAGTTTTTAAAGATGAGAGCAGAGTAATATAACTGGTATTTGTGGGATAGGCAGAACTGACCAGGACGTCCAGCTTGTTCCTAGTGAAGTACAGCAATGCCTCTGTGACCTGAGCTAAAGTCTTAATTTTTCGGAAGTCCCGTTGGACACTGCCGTCCTCCATCTGACTCACAAAGACAAAAACACACCAGCACAGACAGGGGTCAGACAGGTAGATACGTTTGGGTAGTATGAGTTGAACAGTGATTTTAGTAGCCTCTCAAAGCACCTACCACGATGCCCTCTATTCTGAGGCCTAGTGTGGATGTAGAAGTGGTTGTATCCCTCCACTTAAGGTAGCGCCACTTGGTCACACCTTTCTCTGTGTGTTCCTCTGCTGACGGAGCGGACGGATCTATTTTCACCATCCTCTGGTACATGTCACTCCGCAGGGTGGCTTTGGTCTGAGCTTTGGCCAACTCCTCCTCCTGGTATGTCCTAACAGGGGAACTCCCATATTGTACATTGTGTTGAAAAATAAACTGTTACATGGAAAAACCAGCATTTCCTGTATTAATATATCCAGCCACACCAGAGGCATATCAGATCTATACATACACAAGCCACTTCAATCACCACTTGTCAAATACAGATGATAATCAGTGAAAAAGTGAACCCAATTAAAATGAAAAGATTTGCTTTGTATGTGAATTAATTGCTATATTACAAAATCACTGATCACTTATTAATTAAAACTGCAGGAAAGCAGATTTTAGATTTAAAATCAACAATTAATTTGTGAATCAGTGAAGACCAGTGGTGATCAGAGATGGTTGGAGATGCTCAAAGAGACTCTCAATCATCATTTAAATAGCATAAGGCCTACTCTACCCTAACGTAAAAATCAAATTTCAAAAGTTGTAAATGAAAACGACCAAGCTGAGCGTATACCACTCTCCACAATCCAGTCCAGACACATCACCTCTAGAGGACTAAACTCTACCTGACTCCCATCTTGCAGTCCATGATCACTGGTTTCCTCAGGCCGCTCAGCAGGTCCTCGAGCCGGATGTAGCAGTGCTCCCCCCTGGTGACCGTGCCGTGAAACTGTGGGACAAAGGGTCTCAGTGGGTCCTTCATCAGGCTTTCGAGACACTTCGCCTCCTCTTCATTGTGCAGTTTCAGCACCTCCCCTTCCTCACTCAGCTGGAAGTTACCTGGTGGCACCAGCAACCAGACACAAAAGATCAAATTATCATGGTTCATATAATCGCTTCCTCAAGTGTAAATGTTCCATCAAGAAATGTCCCCCCTGAGATCTATTTTCAAAAACAAATTGAAGTGATTTGCAGACTTTATCACAGAAGTGTGGTCTCTGAGTTTTTGTAAGTGTCTGTTTTGGATGAACTGTTACACATGCCTTGATGTCCAGCCAGCTGGACCCAGGAGCTCTGCCGCCGCAGCGACCAGTGCATTATGGTCAGGTAGGTTTTCCAGGAATGACACTGAGGCACAAGAGCAGAGCAGGTTATGTTGTTGTCTTCACACCGCACAGATGCTGAGACAGAGTCGTATGTGAAGTAGTTCCCCATTATGCATATTGTATAAGGCATGCATATCGTGTACAGGGAGTGGAGCCTATCCCAGCAAGTTGGATTGCGATCAAGCTTAAGAATAATACCAACCATATTAACCTGCAGGCTGATCAGAAATCCCAATTCAACTGAACCTGAATGTCTACATGCCTTTTATTGGAAAGGCCTCACCCTGTAAGTACGGCTGAATCAGGGTACAAAACAATGTGAGATCCAAAACAAGGCTGCATGTTCATCCTTAGTTTCATCTTGTGGATTGGTTTCTTTGGATCCTTTTATTTGTACGTTTCTTCAGACAAAAGTGTCCACCAATTTAATTTCTCTCTTTGAGAAACCCCTGATAAAACACCACAAAGACCCTTCACCTTTTGACATTATATCTGAGATTGACAGAAGCTTGTCAGGGCACAATATTACAATATTAACTCTTGTCTTGAGTGTAGAAAACAAACTGAGCTGTTTGTATCAGCTGTTTGTATATACATAAAAAAATCTACGACTGAACAGACAAATCTAAACTGAAAAAACATGGGTAGCACAAGTGCATCTGAGCATGCTCAGTAAAGACTGATCATGCAAAAATTGCCATTTAGACTTCATCCTTCAAATTGCAGATGTTTGCTTCCTACATTGTACTGTTTTGATCACCAATTTCCTGCTGATTGAATTCAGATACAAATAGTCACATATGATTAGTCACTGTTGACTACTTACTACTTCACAACATACACTGAGAGAAAACAGCATTTCCTCTCTAATCTTCTTCTATCTACAGCAGCAGCAGCAGACGGACATGCAAACACCATTCAAATCTGACCCTGTCAAAGTCCTCATTCAATCCGATGCAAATCCACAGGACCACAGGTGCAAAGAACAGATGAGAAATATAATGTTAAACCTTCCATGGACAAACAGAACAACCAGTGCTTATAGTGTAGTAAAGGTATAGTTTTTTTCTCACCTTCCTAATTGTCTTCTTTTTGCCATCATCCTCTCCTTCACTGAAGACCTCGTCCTCCACTGAGGAGAGATTGATGGAGCAGGAGGAGGTGGAGGACGAGGAGTGTAACAGCTTGGATAGGATTGGACGTGGGGAGGACCACTGATGTGTCGTGGAGCCTCCTCTTGTTCCTGGCAGCTCCTCAGCCTCTTCTTCAAGGTTTTCAACACTCTCCTTCTCTCCATCTTTGACTGAAATGGAAAATCTCCTCCTCTCTTCATCCCTCTCTTCTATTTCAGAACTGGAATTTGTACTTCTCCTGTGTTTCCACTCTCTCTTTGTGCCCCCTACCCTTTCCACATCATCACAGCCCCTTTCTCTGCCATTCCCTTCCACTCTTCTCTTCCCACCCCACCTTCCTCTCTCCCATCTGCCTGTGTCGTCTTCATAGCTCCCACCTGACCTCCTCGCCCTCGATTTTGCCCTCACTTCATCCCTTGCACATCTCGGATTCACTTGAACATCATCTTTTCTTTCTGTGCCTTTAAAACCCTCTGTCCAGTCTTTCTTCATCATCTCATCATGGGTAAGAGGTTGCTGGTGAGGGATGCTTGTATCCGAATCGAGCTCACTGTCCCAGTCTCCGAGTCCACCTATGCACTGACTGTAAGGGGGGAAGCTCTTTGTCCACTGGAGATTGGGTCTTGATCTCTCTCCGACTCTCCTCCAGCTGGATGGTCCTTCACCCAGCGTAAGGGGTTGGTTCATCTCGTCAGAGACGTCATTACCCATTGTTTGTTTAATTTCTCGTTCCATCTTCATTCCCTCCATGTGCTTATCATCTGTGTCCATCTTTGTATCCCTGGAGGAGGCCGATGGAGAATCTCCACATGAGTCCAGCATGTTTAAATGAAATTACCTGTATCTTCCTGGTGTTAGTTTTCAGTGACTGAAAGCTCTGTGCCTGTCGGTGAGTTACATCTCTCTCTCTCACATGTTCTCTCTGCTGGAGCCATATTTTGCATGCAGTGACGTTACTACGTTTCCAAAGCCTCAGCTGCTGGAAGTTTGCCAGCTGTGTCCCACATCAACAGGACATCCAGGAATGACACCCGCCTGATAGCAGGTGTCCTCACACTGAATGAGTGTGTACTCTGTGAGTTTACTGTATCGGGTTGTGTTTTCTGACAACACAAAAGAATAAACAAATAGTCTTGAGGTTTTCAAAAGGGTTTATTGGATCAGGTAAACAGAGTAGATTCTAGAAAGCACAAGAGAAGCATTTTGGCATAAAATTCAATCAACTTAAAATATGTAGACAACATTTGAAGGTAAAGGTCATCCCTTAGCGTATCAGTCAGTATTAGATTTGCTCTTTCGGAGTAATTTTCAACCACACATCGCTCTTGAATCTTTATCATTACATCTTGCTTTCTGTTCTTCTTTTCTCTTCTCCTCTAATGTCCTCGGGCTGCCTCTAATCCATTTATTTCATCCTGACCAAGTGTATCTATGTTCTGCTGATCTTTGCTGTCACCAAAGTGCGAATCGGGCCTCTTCCAACTCTGATTTGTGGGGGTTACCCGGAGGGGTTCCAGCAGCTCTGCCGTACCTGTCAAAAAATTGGTTTCTGCAGTCAAACATGCTACAGCACACTCACTGTCAGTGCCTTGTGACTGATGCTAATATCTCAAAATAACAATACATTTCTGTGTGCCTTTGCAAGTGTGTCTGTGTCATTTCTTTGTACCCGCAGCAACATCTTTTTCATCCTCTTGCTGGTTGTTGTTCTTTTCCCTCTCTGACTCAGGTCCATCTGTTCTGAGCTGTAAATGACAAGGAGAACAAGCGCTCAGAGGCCACCCAGTCCGAGCCACAACACCTGAGAGGATTTTTGGCAACAATTCACACTCTGCTCAAGCACAAACTCGTGAAGTGCAGCTAAATAGAGGGGGCTGTGTTTGGTAAGTTCACTGTTGTCTGCTGTTCTTGTCCTCTGGCCTGCTCCACTTTCCACTCCACTCTCATCAGCAGCCTCACGTAGCTGAAGACGAAGAGGATGCTGAGGAAGATGAAGTTACTGGACACGCCCACCAGGGCCGATATGACAGGGAAGTAGAACAACAAGTATCTGATGAAAGGACACAGAAAAACAAAGAAATTCATTATGGCACCACATCTGTTGTCGTACGATGAGTTACAAGATTGCTAAAACAAGTATTCTCTTCAGGCTTTCTTAAGATAATACGTTAACGGTCAACACGACTTTTGACCTGTGACCACCAAAAACTAGACACTTCATCTTCAAGTCAAAGTCAACTATTTTGCCAAATTTGAAGAAATTCCCCCAAGGTGTTCCTAAGATGTTTCGTTCACAAGACTTAAAACATGTTTTGTCAGGTCACAGGGACTTTGACCTTTGACCTGTGACCACCAAAATCTAATCAGATCATCTTTCAGTTCAACTGAATGTTTGCACAAAATCTGAAGAAATTCCCTCAAATTGTGGTTGAGATATTGTGTTAACAAGAATGGGAGGGGCGGACAGGCAGAAAAACTCAAAGTCCCTGCCATGAGATTGAACATTTTTAATTTCATAGTTTTCTTTATGATGTTACAGCAACTATCAGCTCTATGATACAGATTCGAGTTCAAGTTTGTAAGTGACTCTCACCTAATTCCGTTGAAATGAGCATGAACGTAAAGCTCAGATGAGTAGATCTGCACCTTGGTGGACAGGATCTCAATGACAGCTGTGACGGAGGGGGCATACTGAACATGAAGATACAATTTACTGGTTAGACTTAAAGCGAAATACTTTTTCATTCTTCAAGCAGACTTAACACACGCACACTCACAAAGGAGTGCACCACTACTCACAGGGTCGTCTGTGTAGTCAGAGAAGAGCTCCACCTCCAGCACTTGTTTCTGCTCAGTGGCTCCGGTCAAGAAGGCAGGAAAGAACAGCAGCGTTCCCAGCGTCCTCAGCAGCTCTGAGCGGTATCGCAGCATGCTCTGACCACAACATGACCACACAGTCACCCTAACAACACTTTACCAGAAATGACTTTATTCAATCCTCAACCCTCTAATGTGGGATACCCCAACTAACAAAAAGGGTTTTCAGTGGTGGCTTGATGAACATTTAGGAAGATTGATGTTGACACAGATTTTTTATCTTGTGTACGACTCGGTGACTGGGTTGTTTGTTTTGTTTAATGAAAGCTGATCTCAATGAACCATGATCCACCCCTCTCTGATAGTGTCAGAAGGTTTCTAGGGCCACACAGTGGTATCGCCTCACAGAAGGGTTATTGGTTTGATACCCTGGTTGTGCCTTTCTGTGTGGAGTTGGCATGTTGTCCTCGCGTGTGGGTTTTCTCCTGGCACCACCCACTGTCAGAAGACATTCAGATTGGGGTTAGGTTAATTGGAGACTCTAAATTAACTGTAGGTGAGAATAAGATGTGAATGATTGTCTCTATATGTTGCCTCTTGCCCAATGTCAGATAGATACGTGGTATAGATAATGGACAGATTGGGTTTCTGTTTTCTGATCACATGGTATTAAAGTAATCACATTCAATGACAGCATCTGCCTGGATCATGTCTCTGTTCCAGTCATTATTTCACATGTTCACTCCATCATCTCAATGAGCTGAACACTGCCTGTGTAGAAGTGGAGCTCTGCAGCAAGCGTATAAGCAGCTCTAATCTGGCTCTGCCAAGGTTGTGTGATTAGGAGGTTATTGTGCGTCAGCGCTGTACTTACGAAGCGAGTGCTGGAGGCGGACAGCAGTTGTTTTGCCTGAGAAACACACAGCAAAAGCAAACATGCACCAGTGAGTCATTGGAGTCTGAAGGAACTATAATAATAAAGCAGTTGGTTGTAAGTTCAAATGAGACTGCCTAGGGGAGTTGACCAAATCTCTGTGCAACTCACGCTGCGAGCAGAGGAGGCGACCTGGCCTCCCTCCTGAGAGAAACAGGTCGTCCTGATCATGAACATCCCCAGCTCCTGATTGGTTGGAGACTCAGGCATCTCCAGGGTCAAAGAGATCTGATAGGCCTGGCCAAACGACAGCACCTGAATAAACAATTAGAAAAGAGGACACCTTCTACTAGTAGTACAAACACAGGAAATTAAACGCACACACACACACACACACACACACACACACACACACACACACACACACACACACACACAAACACACACACTCATACATACATGTTTCTTGTTCTTCATCAGAGAGATGTTGGCCACTGGATAAGCACACAGAAAAGAGGTGGGAGATTCACAGTCTGACCTAAACAAAAAAAGGTTAATAAGTAAGTAACACTAAGACATAAACCATAGCATAAAACACACAGTATTTGCAGTGTGGCCCTCAGCACTTCACATACACACCTGTAGTAATAGTGCACAGGTGTGGAAAAAGACGCCAAGGGCATGTACGAGTAGTAGAAGCTCCCGTATAAAAAGGCAGCGAGGCACAGGAGTAGCGAGATGACAAAGAACACAACAAAGCTCTGTATGACTCTCTGTTGGGCACTTGACATTATCAGGGTGACAGCATCCCGCAGCCTCAGGAGAGCCCGACCAATGGGGACTGACAGTTCCCCTGTACGCGAGTGACTTTCCTGATCCATTAATATCTGAAAATCCAAGAGAGGATGAAGAAAATGAAAGTGAAAAAAACAGATTCAAGATAGCTGCAGAACAAGGCATACAAAATACCCAGAAAGGTCAATGAACTATGTCATAGGCATGTTATACAAGGGAAATGTACGGATGGATTAAAAGAAGCATACTGGCTTCACTGAGACTGAATGTGTTATTTGATTTGATCCCTATTTTACTGAAAAAAGAGACATGGTAATTGTACATGGTTGGATATGGATGGATATTTTCATGTACTGAAGTTGAAAACACAGGTCAGTACATTCATTACACTGGTGAGAGAAAAACCACCGAGTCCAATCTCCATCACAAGCAGAGGCCTCGCACATCATATGACTCAGAACTGTGTCAATGGTTGACTGCAACTTTCACTTTAATACATGCAACAATCAAGCTGTTTGTATCTTTGATATAAACTGTAGCAGATGCTGGAGGAGGAAACGCTTCACTAAACATCAGATATAAATGTAAGCTGATTATTTTCTTGTTTCAGATAATTAAAGTTGTAATCATATCTATTTATTGAACACAAATATAAGTATAGAGTTAATTCACGTAGCAGCTTTCTATACAAATTGAAAAATTAAGATTTGAAGGCAAACAGCTTGTTTTGATGAGTTAGAAAACATTAGGGCAGAAGAATAAGGTTAGAAATCTTATGGGATGAGAAGAGTGTGACAAAAACAAATCGGAAAATATTAAAATATTCGGTAAGATCAGAGCCTGCATTAAAAAAAACATTTTACATGGAAAAAGTTAAGATTAGTTAGATATTTATCTATAAGAGAGATTTAAACTAGGATAAGGAGCTTGTCAGACACATCTCGGGGAGATTTTTTGATAGTGTGGGCCTGAACAAAAAAATGGATTTGGGATTGAGAAATAACTAACAAGGCCTTTTGCTGCAGGTCTAGAACAGGCCTTCAAGATCAACAAGAAAATCTGAGAATAAATTCTGGAATTTACAAGGAGAATGTAGAAAATGGGAATAATGTGATCTCTAATAATGGTTTTAGTGTGAAGCCTGGCTGCTGCGTTTAGGAGAAGCTGCATTTATCCAAACTCACTCACACGCATATCTTGCCATCCATCATTGTCAGAATCGTGTTTATCGCCAAGTAGGTTTACGACACACAAGGAATTTGCTTTGGTGTAACAAAAGTAAGAGGCGAGCACTGTAACTTCAGGGAGAGAAAAATAAAGACAGGAACCTAAAACACACGAACAATAATTAAAGAAGCTATATGAATATATAAAAATGAAAGTACGAATGTAAAACAATCTGTACTATATGAAAGTATGTGCAATATAGCTAGAGTTTGAGGTGAGAATATAGAATATATATAAACATGCCTGCAACAGTCATTTGACTTTAGCATGCAAAAAAAAAAAATCCTCACCTCTGCTTTCAGTTGGCCTCCAAACTGTGAGGGACGACTTCTCCTTGTGTTGGTCCACAGCATGACACTGTCCCCTGAAGAGTTGTGAGCACAGAAACACTAACTTGGCTTTGGCTCTGTAAGAAGCTCTCATTGGACGACAGGGTTGAGTCCATCCCACATCCTGCATCAGTAAAATCACCTCTCACCGACAGGGGGCGGCAGCTCCTGGTCGAAGAGACCCGGTAAAACATCATCGAGCGTTGAAGAAGAAGAAACTTCCGCCGTCACACAGAGACTGGCGCTAAAGGAAAAAGTAAAAGAAGGTGAAGTCTCGCTGATCGTTTAAAGACGTTCTAAACAGCAGGTTTGTTTCTTAATGTTTCATCGTTAAAACACTTTAGAGTCTGTGGTGGAGGAGACGTGCTGTTTATTTTAGCGGAAGTGTTCAGTGTTTGTGGTCATTGACAGAAACAGACACAAATGATTCCTCTCGAAATAACATTCATTTGACCAACGTTAAATAAAGTTGTTGTTGTGTAGTTTCCACAACTTCATTAGGTATTAATACGTCTTCAAATATTAAAATCAAATGTCTGAATACTTATTTATCTAAACTGTGCATGCTCTGTTCGTCATACTACAAAACAGGGAAAAGCAGTTTATCTGAAACAGATGCCGATTATTTATTGGTGAACTAACTTGATGAATCGTCTATTTGCTGGAGTTCTTTATATCACATGGACACAGAAGAGAAATCAATCTATCAAACTGTTTAGTGCAATTCAAAATGCTTTGTGTGCTGACGAGGTGAAGACGGTACAAATGTAATTACTAAAGCAATAAAATACTAATGTTGACAAGAAATAAAATGTAGCAATGAAATCAGTAAAACAGATTTAAAAATTACATAAAATCCAGTGACAAGTAAAATCGATCAAAGAGGACAGAACCATTTTAAATGTGAAGTAAAGTAAAGCAGGCGACCTGCTTTTATAATCATAGTGAAGGTTGCTCCGGCTGAACACTCGGTGTCAGTAAAATAGTAGAGTGAAGATGAATTGTTATGTTTGTCCTCTCCTGTCTTCTGGTTGCAGGATGTCCTGTAACACCAGTGTGACCCGTGTCCATGTGTCGTCAGTGGACCAGGCACAGAGAGCTCCAGTCCATCTCCTGCCCTGTGAGATCGAACACAACGGGCCGGCCCAGGTCTCACAGTACCTCACAGCGACCACTAAAGACCGAAAATATGGTACACACACAGTGTGTTTATTCTCTGTCAGATTTTTACTTTTGCAAAGTAAAGATAAGCTGCAGTTCAAATAAAAGAAAGACACACTAAGGCTAAGACTCACTGGTGTGTATGTCTCCCTTTACAGAGAAGACGGTGTCATTCAGAGGGCGTGGCTTGAAGGGGCAGGAGCTCAGCTGTCCGCAGGGCTACACTGGCCTGGTGCTGAAAGAGATCAACAAGCCCGGCTCTGACCAGGAGGTAAACACCACTCAAACTGTCTGGATCAATCCACATGAGGCATAGTGTTGAATGCATGAGGCAACAAATCAGATTAGCAGTGATGTGGGTGGAGAGTGGGTAATAATGACTGAATCCAGAATAGAAAGACTTGGGTCGCTACAAAAAGTGATATCTGCCAAAAGCAGGGTCACTAACCCCTTATTCTTTAAAACAAAGAAAAACAATCTGAGCAACACTCATTTGTTTTTCTTTGCTGGGGTTTAAATTAACTTCTTTTCACCTAAAAAAACAAATATGCAGTTTGGCCATAGTTGCCAAAAGCTTTGCAAACAACTGAATGAATACATGATGCTAAATAATAATAATAATAATAATTTGTGTGTGTGTCCAGGACAGGACAGTGAAGGTGTCCTCTGTGTTTGACAAGCTGACTTACTGGAACCTGGAGACATCTCCGAATTCTGACGACACTGTTGTGATGGCAATGGATTGGCCAGAGCTTGCTGATGCTGTAAGTTGTTTGTTAGGTTTTTATTTTTACTTAAAAGGCTGGTTTAAGACTTTACCTGTGTCATCTACTACTAACTTATCTAGACTGTGGTTTGAGATGGGTATATTTTAGTAAGTTTAACCCTTAATCACAAGCATGGCTTTAAGAATGTAAGTCAAATAAAGCTGCAGCTTTACACATTTTCCGCAGGAAGTTCACTTTGTTTACTGACAGAGCAAACTATCAAACAATAATTTTAATCACACATTTGTTTTTGTCACATAAGCATATATACTATTAAAATGACTTTTACAGCCTAAAAACTTTGAATCTTTCAGTCAACATGCAGCTAAAAAATATGAAGCGTAGATACAAATGGTTCAATTAAAAGTGGATCGCTGGGTTGATATTGGAACAGTGTTGTGGCACTGGTCTTTGTTTCTCTTCAATAAAAAAAAAATACAAAAAACACTTTATCGACAGCTGTATTTAATTAGAATATCATTGTTTGGAAAGACAAGGACACAGAGGCAGACAGATTTGTAGGTGGACACTGATATTTTGTCTCCTCACAGATCCACGGGCCGGTCGAAGACTGAAGATAGAGACGAACCTCTTGCTAAGAAAATGCTGGTGGATGTCACCTCCACGTGTTTGGAATGAAATGTCCAGTAACTGCTGGTTACTGGCCAGTGAAAAGACTTGCTAACCTGTGTAGTGTTACTGTTGCAGACAGGTATAACATTTATATTTTTGTACATGTTCTCTTGTTGTGAAATTTAAAAAATGTGGACTGACCAACCTGTGCATTTTGTGAGTCACTGAAACATTAATATTTACACATTAATTCACAACAAGGTAACATTTAGATTTTCAACACGTTCTACCATACAACTCTAAAGAACCACTGATTCACTTTCCCTTGTGACTCCAAATAACTTAGGTTTCTATGGCAACGCTAATACAAACAAATTTCATTCCACCAGCTCCCAAAACATTTGAAACGGTGCAGAAGAAGAACAAATTCCACAGTGTCAAACAGTCATTGAGGCACATTTACAGTTTTAGATTTCAACAGGAGGCATGTTTTCTGCTTGTGTCACCATGTGTTCACACTGTACATGCAGTCTTCTACGACAGGAAAAAATACAGAATAAGCAAAGACAAAAGATAATAACTGCTTCCTCACCTCTACTCTAATACCCTACCAGGGAATGTAGGTTCACATAGTTTAACTTGTTTTTCATTCCTAACATCTTTTATTAGATGCTGATGGTAAATGTCATGAGTCTGTTGCAAGGCAGGACATAATAAGGCACAGTGCTGAGAGAATCCGGCTAAATTTACAGCGTATTGTTTGTCATTTAAATATTTAATTTAAAGGAATGATTTTGAGAATTCAGTCCGTTTGTAACGTTGCTGCACTGATGAGAAAAGGCAAAGTAAGTTTCATAAGATATAAACTGCACGATCAGTTTCTAATTATATCATTTCTGCAGATATGTGCTGCCACATAAAGAACACAGTTTCATCCTGTAAATAACACCAAACAGTAAATCATGGAAGGACATAGGTCGATCTCTGTCAGGACACAGTCACACCGGAAAGACAATTTTATAAATCAGCAACAGTAAGCAACTTTTCAACCTTAAAATAGCAGCTTCGAATTGAGTTTCGATGATTCACTCACTTGAATTCCAGAGAATGATGCTGCTTTGGTTTGGACTCCTTGAACAGAGAGCAGCTTCTGGTTCAGGAAGCCGGGGATCATGGGATTATATCCACCGCTCAGTTGTGTTTTAGTGCAGTGAGTGGGACTACGCAACACATGGATAGATGTTTTTCTCCTGATGAAAACCAATTCATTGCTCAGAGGTGGTCAAACATAATTAATCCCCATGTGTGGCTGCAGAGGGCGCTGCTGTTCACTAAAAGCTACATGGTGTTGCTTTGACATAAACTGATGATTTGAGTGGAGAATGTCAAATGACTTTTTCAAACATTTTCATACATGATTTATTCTTTCTAATAACATTTAATACCCAAACATTTACTCTCAGTATGAATTATTGTATTTCAGTATTCATGTGGAAACGTCCTCACTAGAATAGACAGACGGGGACTTCAGTCCAGGGTGTTTACAAAGATAAAAATATTTTGAGATATTTGAATAAAATGAGAAGGAACTTTTTTGGTTGCAGGTTGAGAGGCAGCACAACTAAGGGAATGGGAAGAGTGCTTTTAGAAATGTTATAAACATTATTGTCATATAAATTTAAAAAATCTATCAGGTACGCTTTGTTGTTTCAGGGTAGTGTCAAATGTGACAATGTAGTATTAAGTATGAAAGAAAGAAAATAAAGCAGCGATAGAAATAAACAGATTAGTGTTTATTTCTGAAAAAGGGTTTATTTCTGAAAATGTAAGATTTTGAAAGCAGATTGGCTTTTATATTTAATACGAAAAAAGAATTTAGCCTCTCAAACGTGAATATTTCGATTATTGAAGTGTTATAAAATGTTTCAGTCTCAACTGTTGATTGGATAAAATAAGAAAATAACAAGAAACTATTTGGGTGTTGGGACATTGTGATAGAGATTTTCAGTCAACACAATTCATCAATTGATTTAAAAAAGTAATCGCTAACTCATTATAGGGTTGAAGGCATTATTTCAGTCAGTGTATCATATTAAAGTTTTGGTGTGGGTGTGAATAAGTATTGAAATACAACAGTGTGTGTTAACTGAGATCTGGTGGTGCTTGTGGGGGCAGGGAGGGATCCATGTCTGCCTTGCTGCGCTTGGCCGGCAGCGTGTGGTCATGAGCTTTGCGAATGTGTCTGTACAGGTCGCCGGACTGTGTGTAGCTCCGATAGCAGTAGCGGCACTCGTAAGGGCGCTCGCGTGTGTGCACAATGGCGTGGCGCCTTAGCGTGTACGTGCATGAGAATGTCTTTCCACAGACGCCACAAGTGGGGACGTCCTCCATGAAGTTACCCATAGAGTCCTGGAAATACGCTGGAGGGTCTAAATGCTGCTGAGCTGTGGACGGAGGAATGAGGGAGGCGGCAAAAGAGTTTTCCTGGGAGGAAGGGCCGGCACCAGAAGAGGAGGAGGACGGAGAGAGGGGGAAGGAGTAGTCATTTGAATGGGACGTCATCTGTAGTAGGGCCTGCGGGTGGGAGTGGAGAAACTGAGGACTGTTCAGCTCCTCTTCCTGGATGTCATCTTCAAAATCATTGTCCAGTTCCATCACTGGTTCTCTCTCTCTGTTCTCCTCCTCCAGCTCTTCATCAGATATAACTATGGCCTCTACTTTGACTTTGACATTCTTCTCGTCACTGCTGTCTGTATGCACTCTGCCTACACTTCTTATGGGGTGTGAGGCTCTGGTATCCCCCTCAGGCCCCCCAAGGGTTTGTGTCTGACAATGAATGTGAAAGTCTGAGCTTTGGCTTTGAACTGACAAAGTGTTCTGGATTCGGATTTGGGGAGGTGCACGCTGAATTGGTGATTGTGTTGGATTGGACTGTAAGTGTGAGTTGGATGCTGACGGTTGGATTAACATGAGCCTCTGTTGTCCTCCGTCTGATGTGCCTCTGTGGTCAGTCTCCAAGGGTTTCCGAACATCATTGTCACGGGGAAGTCGTGGTACGTCCTGATGAAGTCTAGGGGAGAGACTGGATTCTGACAGAGCAACCCCTGACCGCCCACCAGCCAAACTCACTGGGATCAGGGAGGAAGAAGACGACGAAGAGGGCTGCTGGTTGCTGCTGCGGCACATGAAAGAAAGAAAGAAATGAGGATAAAACAATAAATAGTAAGAATGCCCAACAATTAAGTGCATGCCCTGTACATTTTACTGGAACTACCAGTTGAATTCCACTTGTCTCTGAATACTATGTAAATTATTTTATATCTATTTTAGTCGATACATTTACAACAGTTTTATACCTGTACATCTCTGTGGTGCTGCAGGGGCTCCCGAGTGCCGACCCCTCCCCCTGACCTCCAATCACCATCCTCGTGTGACCTCCAGAGGCGGGGACAGATTGACCAGTGATGAGGCCCTGCACCTGCTCTCTGCCTGGGGGCAAAGGAGGGGCATCCATACCTGGCTGAGTGGTATCCGCAAGATCAGGGCTCAGAGGAGTGTGAATCCGTGCCTCTAATGACCCCCCACCAGTCCTCCGCTCAGACTTCACAGACTCCAACTGCCTCCTCACCGCCACTGGTGAGAGTCGCACGGCCATTGCGACTGAATTCAAGTGATCTCCTGCCATGGCCACCACAGGCTCAGCTCCACCCCCACCATCTCTTCCTATCTCTACTGCCTTCCTCACACCAGCACTCTCTTCGGAGCGAGTGCTGTCTGCCTCAGCCAGAGGCCCTCGTCTCTGCAGTCGTCTTTTGCACACTCTGACCACCTCATTCATGTGCAGAAAGCTCGCAGCCGCCAATACGTCCTCAACTGGTGGAGACTCCTCCAGCTGCAGCACACCTTCATAGACAAAGTCCAAGAGCAAGCCAAAAGCAGCAGCCGTGACAATGTCACTGTCCAGTGTGACAGAGCTGTTTCCACCATTGCTGCCTGGGGAATCCGAGTAAAACATGTGGAAGAAAGGCGAGCAGGAGGCCAAAACAGCACGATGAGCCAGGAAGCAGGATGATCCCACCACGACAGTGCAGTCACAGAGGAAGCCCCGCTGACGCTGGGAACGCAGAGCGGTCAGGAGCTGCTGGGAATGCTGGGGGAACTCCATCACCTAAGCAAGAGAGACGATAAATCATTACAGACAGCTCTGGGGTCAGCTGCATAAATATCGAGAAGAAAAAGTTATGATTTCTTCAGATAATGACATGCACAAATTAAACATTGGGTCATCTCTTTTGGCAAAACAAAATACATAAAGGGTCACTGCATGCAAATTACAAAAACCACTGTATTACTATTATAATTAATGAGGTTCTCTTAAAATAAAGAAGAGCGAACGCAATATTCATAACACTCTGTTCGACACTTGTGGGCCACCGTACATAAGAATTCCATTACAGTGTTAGCATTAAGAACAGTAACATCAACATGTAGCGACCTCTTTAAACACAGTCCATGGTGGCGACTAAAAAATGACTCTGTGACATCAACAGTAAAAGTAACTTTTGAAAAAGCAGGATACTCACCGCGAGTGTGGCCCGTGTGTCTTTTTAAACACCGTTATTGACAGTTGAGTCTTCGGAGAGCCGTCATGGCGATCTGAGCAAATCCCTCAGCGCAGTTTCACCATCGCATGTGACACTACACACAAACAACACCGTCAACGACGAGCAGGTGAGGAGGACACACAGCCGACAACGTCAAATGATGATCTTCTTCCAGACAGAGATGCAGCTCCTGATCACCCGTGCTAACATCTGTTAGCCAAGTACAATCCCAGAGCGCCACGACCCGTCATCTGCTAGCATCCATTAGCATTGAGTTCGCCTGAAACAGAGAGCAGCGGTCCTGCTCTGGGTAACTCGTGTGTTTAGCGAAGCGGGGAAAGTTTTCTCACCCGCGGCCGATGATGCTTGTTTGTTTCCTTCCCAGACAAAATGCTAATTTTCCTCTGTGGTGCTTAGGTTACGACAGCCACACTCCACCTGCCACACCGCCACCTACAGGCGGGTGGAGGGGACAGACAGGAAGTGGGAGCATGTTTGTTGTGTCGTGGAGGTTTGCTCTGATTCATCAGCAACAGTAGTTTATGAGAGAAACGTACCCACAGATTTACACATTACATCATCCAGCAGCTTCAGATCATGATCTGAATGATAGAGCTTCCTGCATTGACATGGACAGTGACAGAGGAGGAAGAGGAGGTAGAGGAGGAAGAGGAAGAAGGAGAAACCGTGGTGCAGAGGTGAGAGATTGTAGCTCCACAGAATGAGATTGTGCCCATTTTATAAAAGCTCCCAAAAACGGATTTCTAACTCATGACATGTCTGTGACATGTTACTATTAAGGCAGGCAGCATGGGGTGTTTGTAATAGTAAAGTCTGGGCTCTTTTTAAACCATAGCTATATTTAGAGCTGACAGAGACACTCAATCTGTCCTCCCTGACCAGGACAGAGATGTCCGCCTGTCCAAATCCATGTCTTATGCTCTTCGCCATGGAGCCAACCAGATGGGTCTTCAAATGGGAGCAGGTGAGCTGATCTAGATAAAACAAAAGAGCCTTCACTGATACTGTCACAGTCTCTGTCAGAGGTTTTGAAGTATGAAGCTTCCAGGACATCTTTTCATATCACTCCGTAATCAACGATGATCATGATAAACATCACATTGTTGTTTATTTTAAGTTCATTGACAGAATTTCGCTCCTGAGTGACGGTTGTGGTTTTAAACGTTTCTTTATGACAAACACTATTTTACAAATCTGAGGTAGTGCACTCAAATGAAATCTGATTTATTTCCTCACCATGCTTACACACAATATATATTGGACTTTTGTAATATGATGAATAATAATATTAATAATAGTTTTATATATATTTATCCAAATTTTGCCATGGATTTTGTGAATCACTTTGCAACCTTGTTTAGATAAGGGCTATACAAATAAAGTGTTTTAGTTATTATTATCATTATTATGTTGTGGGTTTATTTTTTGTCTTGTAAATGTAAGAGTTGAGTAAATGTAAGAGTTGTAATGCTGTATTATTTTCATATATCGGTCTATTTCATTTTAATGTGACCAATTGGCTCACTAAACACAATTGTTTAATTAAAGCATATTATTTGGAGATCTGTGCTTCAATCACAGCCTCTTCATCTGATGGACTGAGTCACTCATATTATGAACCATAGTCAAAGCACTCAATACAATCAGGGTTATAACCACACCCCCTGTGCTCTTAGTTTCACGGAATGCTTGTGGACTGGAAATTTATTCCAGGGCAGCATGCAGTGCACAGAGGTGAGTGAAAAATGGAACTGTGACCAGAGTTATAACAGCTATGATTCCTCACAGATGGCTTCTTGTTTGTGGAGGAGCTCTTGGCTCACCCGCAGTTTCGCTCTTACTCATTGGAAGACATCGAGAGAGTCGTGGTCACAAATGACAAGCAGCGCTTCAAGCTCCGTTCACACCCAGAGGATGGACGCCTGGAGATTCGAGCCAACCAGGGCCATTCAGTGCAGGTATACAGAGCAATGAGTTCTAGGATTGTTTATATTCCTGAACAGAGACACATGGACATCTGTGGATGGCACAGAGAGGAAGAAAATTGGTTTCATCAGCAAACCAGCATGCCAGGATGTTTGGGGATATGTTGATATGTATGTAGTGTTATATTTGTGCTGTTTATTTAATGTGCACCAAAACTGCTTTTAGATGGATCTGTTTTCCTCCTTGTGGACTAACATGTTGAATCTATGTGGTTTAGTCACATCTTAAATTGTCCCATAATTTTGATCCTATCCAGTCAGTGTTTTCTCCAGATTTTCCCCAAACAGTAGTTGACCTGACTATCACTATAGATTTTTACAACTAATGAAGCAAAGTTTAACAAAACTGTAATGGTAATCTAGTCCATCAAACTTCTCCCTGGTTCCTTTGCTGTTGTCAGGTGAGGGATTTGGAGCTGAAACCGGTCCTGACTGGTTCTTCAGACTATCCAGCTGAGGCCATTCATGGCTCCTACCTCAGCAAATGGAGCTCTATCCAGCAGCAGGGTCTGAGCCGCATGAAGAGGATGCACATCCACCTGGCATCAGGACTCCCAGGGGAGGATGGCGTCATGTCAGGTGTGTGTGACAGAAAAGGAGACACACACGCGTGTCTTCTGGACATTCATATAACTGGTCCTACAGAGTTATTTCATTTTCCCTCCAGGAATGAGAAGTGACTGTGATCTTGCCGTGTTCATCAACGTCACAAAGGCTCTGGCTGGTCAGTTTAGCCTTTTGACTGTTTCCCAATTGAGTCCACTTGTTTATCCAACAATCTCTCTCATATCTGTTTTTAAATTATTTGTGACTGTACAGATGGTATTGAGTTCTTCTGGTCAGAAAACGGTGTGTTGCTGACTGCAGGTGACGCAGAGGGAAAACTTCTCCCAAAATACTTTAGCCGAGCCTTAAGACTGAGACCCACACGTAAGAAAAGCTATCACATGGAGTTTTTTAGATTTTGTTTTGAAGGATTCATGATCACTGAGGTCACTCTTGTCCTGTGTTTCAGGGAGCATCCTGCCACTGCAGTAGAAGCAGCCTGCGTCACCTGTGTGTAACCTGGGGGACACACACCTCTCCCCTGCCACTTTCTCCCTCCTGCCCCACCCTGAGCAGTGAGCAGCCGCTGAAGGGGTAAAAACTGTGGCCTCATGTCAGGCGTCCTGGAAGACTGCTCCAACCAAGACTGCCAGTGGGAGGAACCAATGTTTTGATTGATTGAGTTAGGTGGGTTTAAAACAATGGTGATGATACTGTAGTGCGTGATGATTTAAAGCAGACAGCCAGTGTCATTTCTACTAATATTTGTTAGAACAGCAAAATACGAGATGACAATAACAAAATAAACTTCCACTTTCATCTGAAGGAAAGAACATATAGAAGGACATAAAGAAAATATTTTTTTCTCTTACAACTAATTCAATAATATATATTAAATTATTATATATATATTTAAAAATTGAGAGTTAGTTGAGACTCTCCTTTACATCTGTACAGTAAATAAAAAGCAGCTGCTTAGTTTAACGACAGGTTTCTGCTGTCAGCCTGGTTCTGTCAATATTTAGGTAACAAATCCTCCCAGCACCTTCAAATATCACCACTTAACATGTTATATTGTTTGTTATTTTATACCATGTAATATCACACCACAACTTCCCAGTTGTTCCCGTCTGTTTCCAGCGAACATGCTGAATCACCTCTGCAATATTTGAACTGAAACTGTGATAACAATCTGGAAAATAAATAAAATAAAAGTGCTGTAGGAAAAGATAGATTTTTGAATTGGTCCATTTTTGAATTAGAACATTTTTAATTGGTCATGTCAGTAATAAAAAAAAATTAAGAATAGTAAGCAAGGTCTGATTAAAGCTTTGATAGATGGAATCTTTACTGTGTTGATACTGAATATTTGTGCGTCCATGAGTGTACAACAGTTTTTAGTGTGAATATGTGCATTACACATGTGTTTATTTAGAGTTTACAGTATCAGACATGCATGTTTATGTAGTTCTTAATATGTTCCTGTGTTTTTCTCTGTTGCTCTGATTAGACAGCACTTGACCATTCCCGTCAGTGTTGGCTGTGATCGAGCGTCATAGAAATTCTATCAGTGTGGGGATACTAATTCATCTGTGGTCGCAGGAAGGATCACCTGTGCTAGCATCCTGTGGTGGGTTGATGCTTATAATAGTTCCCTTGGTAACACGTGGCACTTTAATCCTAAATTAAACTAAATTGGAAAACTTGTCATTGACAGAATCAGGATTACAGTAGGGAAGCATCTTTATTTGTATATGACAAATTAACCAACTTATACTAGCGAATGTCACCTTTTACATTTCAGTAAATTTCCCCGTTGTGGGATGAATAAAGTATATCTAATCTAATTTTCTCATTGTATTGTTAGTGCTAACTAAACTATGGCCCACATAGGTCAATCTGAATAAAAAGTTATAAAATATATAACACTGGTCACAAATACACACACACACTGCCTGCTGCAACTAACAAGCTAACAAACATTTGCATGTGTGGTTAGTCATGTGACTCAAAGAAAGCAGAGGATGCAGGAACTGGTTTTTAGTTAACGGACTGCCTTTACTGTGTCTTGCAAGATATGGCCACACAGCATGGGAGAGGAGATAATTCATCTAAAGCTTCCTGAGTAATAAACAACAGAAGTTACCACCATATGTCACGACTACCAGGAGTAAAGATTATTAAAAGTGACTTCTGTAATTAGAATTTTTTCTTATCCACATGTTTATGTGGAAAAGATTGTATTTTTAATTTTTGGCTCTAATAATAATGTGGTGAAAGTGATAATACGACTGCAGCAGTGGACAAAGTTTAGCTTTGCATCCTGAATAATACTGATTACAAGTCTGAATACTAAAGGGTGAAAAAGAAAAGCAGCTGGTGGCTTATCCAAGAGGTGTTGTTACGACTCCATGAAATTATTTTGTCTTAGTGATGATGAACCAGATGTTACTTCATCCTGAAGGAAAGTGGAAGTCAGCAGGAGGACCACTTGACTTGAACTCATGTGGACTCCTCCCTCCTCAAAAACAGTGCATGTGAATCTAACACTAGAAAAACTTTTTGTGACTGACTAAATGTAACATAAAATTCATTGTGTGATTTAGTCTCAGAGAGCTTCATGGCCTCCGGTCAGCTTGTGAAAGAGTTCCTCATTGAGCGTGTCGCTCTTCTCACGACTGCGTGTTGACATGAAAATGTAGCCTCCAATAAACTCATGAACGATTTTACAGTCGGCAGTCACGCAGCTGAACGCAATGTTGACGTTGCCTTCAAACTCGATGGCCATCTGGAGGGGTCAGAGACACAGACACACACACGAAGAAACAAATGTTAGCTAAGATAAATGCATAATATTAGGAATGATAATTAGACACAGCGAAAAAATAAACTCATCCCTGTAAGAACCAGAAGTCCTCTGGTTTTATAGTCAGTGTTAATGAGGTCACTTCCTGTATTCCCGTTTCTAAGGTTTTACTGCTGATCAAACCTCCATCATAACTGGAGGTTTCTCTCTGTGTGTAGCTTAACTAATGTTTTATTTAAGGTTTCTAAAGTCGCAAATTCACTCAGACTGACATTTAGACAAATGGCTTAGTGACATAAGATTTTCCACAACCCATGACCGCTCAGAAAACCAAAACGAGCTAATTCACCAGCGCACACATCTTGCAAACTGTTCTCCCAGACAAAAGCCTGATTACAGAGTCTGACCTGTCGTATGTCCCAGTTGACGTTCCACTGCTTCATGTTGTTGTAACGCCACGTCTTGACCACATCACCCACTCCCAGGTCAATGCGGATTAGGCGGTTTGGGGCGATGCCCATTACCTCGTCTTTTCGGCTACCTTTGAACCTGTTGGTCAAACAAATGTCTTTCAGTGTCCTGTTGTTAAAATCTTGCTTTGGATACCATCACTTTTATCAACACTCATGTTTATACCACTACTGCGTCAGGAGCAGGAACTAATGAATGAATGTTTGACAGTTTCAACATTCATCAACTGAACTGTGCCTCAGATATTTTTATTGTTTGGCCTTAAATTCTTTACTGTTCTTTTTTAAAAATACAACTATAACAGTCATTTATGTATTTATGCTGTGTATGAGTAAATATGTATTGACATTTTACGTAATAGGAAGAAAAATGTAACTATCAAAGTTCTAGTTTGGGACCAATGGGATTAAATTGATGAATTCTGAAAAAGCTTCAAAGTAAACTGTAAACGTAACCTGACAACGAAGTATGAGAGACCAAAGTCAGGAAGAGCCTGCCAGATCTGCAGGAAGCGCATCACTGCATCATTCAGCGAGAGCTGAGCCACGTTCTGGTATGCGTCCAGGATACGAGGGGTCAGCTGGAGGAACAGGTAGAGGGTAAAGATCAGATGTGATCATATATTTGCTGCACAAACTTATAAAGTTAATATCCATCCCTGTACTGCTGCAGATGTCTAATACAAATATGAAACCTTGCCTCTAAACTTTCTTATCATTTTGTGTCATTTTTCATTCCTCCTCCTGTGTGGCTGTTGTACCTGTTTTGTTTTGTACTTCTTGTGGTAGCGTGGTGATACCAGACTGTGGGTATTGATGCTTTCATCGTTGGCAGGTGCGTTACTGTTGGAACCAGTGTTGGTTTGCTGCATTTCCAGGAAAGTGTGGATGCTCTGTATTTCACTCTGGAAACTGCTGTCTGCGAGACTCATGCATTTGGAGGCCAGTCGACATGCAGCCATCCACTGAGCATACTGCTGCTTCTGGAGGGCGAGAGACAAAGACACAGTGTAGATAGAGAAAGAGAGAGAGAGGAGAGGTGGAGCTGGGGTCAGAGGTGTGAGATCGCGAGACAAACAGTAACATGAGGTGTCGAAAGAGAGGTGATGGAAATGAGAGGATGTCACATACAGAAACAAGAGATGTGTGCGTGTGACCTCACGTTTTCACAGCGCAGATAGACCTCATTCATGCCCTCAGGCGCTGGTATCAGGAGTCTGATCTGGAACTTTTGTGCGGCCATGTTAACGTCTGGAGCCACTTCACACCCTGTGTGCAGAGTCATTATCAAAGTATCAGAAAACTCAGACCTGGAGATGAAATGTTGTTGGGACATACAGAGGAGGGAAACAAACACTGATGTCTTGTGTAAATGATCGTTTAATCACACTTCCTGTTCTCTTCTGTCTTGATGACATGTGCGTATTTGTGTTTAATTTTTTGTTAAGTGTCAAAATTTTGGTTAGGCTATCCACAATATGGAAATCAATGCAAATCCTAATAAGAATACCTGCCTGAACTTGTGTGTGTGTCGGGATTTACTCTGAAGCATCACTTAATGCTGTAGTACTGTATGTGATCATTTCTGAGCAGTGATGTTTCACCGATCTAAATTAACTGGATACTAAACTATGACTGCCAGTTCATCTAACTAATTGATTCATACTTATGGTTCAATAACTGAGGACACGAATGGTGACCTGACTTAGCAGGAAATGTAATACTAATAAAAAAGTATGATAGTTTATTCAGTACCTTTGAGGTTTATCTGTTGGATGGGCTCTCCGATGCTCTCCTCTTTGCTCTTGAAATAAGAGATGGATGTATCCTGGAACTTGAACCAGTATTGTTTGTATCCCTTCAGCGTCAACCTCTTTGGCCTGAAACACAGTCACATTAGATAGATAGATAGATTTCACCAAATCACTTCCACTGTTGTGTATTCATGTATAACAGAAAATGAAAAAAAAATTGAAAATACAGTTTAAGTTTTTGTCAGTGGTTCAAAAGTAAAACATTTGTTAAATAGTAGATGTTTATTTATGTTTATGTCATCAGTCAAGATCAGTTCATGTAGACCTGAGAGGTTGGAAAAGGAATCTCACCTGAATATCTTCAGATAGTCATTGAGTTCTGGTGCAGTCATGTTTTCCTGGAGGAATGGATAAATGATTCACATCTCACTATCTTGTTTCCGTGAAGAACAACATAGAAATGATTATTCTTTGAAATCTCCCTTTAAACTCATACTTCAAACAAAGAAATCATATAATAATATAATATATAATAAAGTGAGTCCAATATGTCTGACCAGCAGATCGGATGCAGAGCTGCTGTCTCCATCCATCTTGACTTCTAGACACTGCAGGGCTGATTCCAGGTCATCCATGGCTGCACTGGAGCTCAACATCTGGGGCTCGGACTGAGACACCTTACTGATGTGGTACTACATGAGTTTCAATAGAAGACAGGAGAGTGACAAAGTCAAATGTACGAGATGTGAAAAGAGACTGTGTTGTAGCTTCCTATTTTATGTGGATTCTAACATCAATTAATGGGCAATCTCTTGTAACTTGTCTTCAAGAGGGACAGAACTTTTACAACTAGTTTTACCTTTAACCTTAGTGCAACCTTAAATCTGTTATTGGAAATACAAATTGGGTGTACTTTTTAATCCAGTAATGTAGTTTGACATATATTGACAAAATATGGCGATAGATGGCTTTAGTCTGGATCCTTACTAGTGTCAAAATGAAAATTGAACTTTTGAATTCCTGTAAAACACTTCAGAGCTAAATAGGGGAACCGTTCACTTCCTATAGAGCATTTTGAAAATAATGTTTCTATTTCGGTTGATGCACCCATTTCTCCCTCCACAGCAGTTTCTACCTGCAGAGCTCCAAACAGCATCATCTCCTCCTCTGTGCAGTCGATGTCCTCCAGCAGGAGGTTCCAGCGAGCCTGCTCATAAAGTTGGGTCAGACGCACAACATCGTACTGCAGGGACACACAAGAGGAATAAGAGGGTGGAGGTGAAAGAATGGTTACACTGCCACTGTACTGTACACAAAAATGTACTGTATTAACATTTACACAAACACACACACACACACACACACACACACACACCTTGGGTTCTATGTCATGGAAGGCAAAGTATTTGAAGCGAAGCCAGAGTCGATCATTTTCTTGGATGCCCTGCTGCAGAAGACAATGGGATGAGTCCAACCACCTGAGAAAACAAAATTGTAATTATACATATATACAGTATATATATATACATAAATATTACGAGTCAGAAGTGTGACTCTTTAGATTCAGACTCTTTGAGAAACAGGAGGCCTGAAGCTAAACTTTGTATATAACCTTGCAGAATATGTAGTATAAAACTGTGGGGCTGTCGAGCTTTAACTCTGCTTGTTCTCAAAAGCCACAGCTCGTCACTCGTTGGTTTTAGCACACGTGTATGTATATGGACATACCTGCCATTGATATGGGCCTTGTCTACCACGCTGGCTGGGCGGTACTGCTTGGCTATGACTTCTGGGGCGGGGGGAGGCTGAGTAACTGACAGCATCTTGTAGATAGCCTCCATCTGAGGTGAGTCAGCAAAGTGAGCTGGCATGCTGTTGTACAGACAAGGCCGGGACACTGCAAATGAGAAGTGAAAGGTTACACCTCTTTTTTTAATAGGGAGTTAACTTCACGGGAATTAAGTGACTAAAAATTGAACGGATAAAGTCTGAGCTCGAAGGTTGTCTCAGTTTTTACTGCAAAATGTACAAGAAACTGATAAAACCACCAAAATACACATGGTGTATTATCAATCAAACTTTATTTGTATGGAACCTTTCAGACAGGTCCCATGACGCATATTTCATTAAATTTAGTAAGATGGCATGAAAACATGTACTAATACATTTAACAGACATATAAAACAGTTTAACATTTTCCAGCGGCAGATAATGGATGAATGAATAGATTATATATACCATACACATTATAAACTCCATGATTCATTTGAATCTTTTCCCCTGTGCTTCATGTTTACCTTCATTTACAGGAGCATAATGTGACTGTTTGTATAAAAGCTCCTGAGGCTAAATCTCATCCTTGAGCATACCTCAGTGTCTTCTTAGAGGCAAAACACACTCAAATTAAAATCTTTCAGTGATCATTGTTATAACCTTATGTGCTGCTCATATGTTGAAAGGTTATTTTTAATATTTTCTTTATTGCACAACAACAAAGGGAGGAATCCCTTTAAGAAAGGTCCAAGAACAATAACGTAAAAATGAAATTGGTGGTAGTAAATCAATCTTTGATCTTTTGAAATTAGTTTTGACATATTGTGCATATGGTACATCAAACATTTTTGACATTTCTTTCCATATATTGGCTCAGAGACACAACTTCTCATATGTGTGTGAGTGTATGAAGTGTGTACCTGAGGAGAGGGGCACCTCGCTCAGGTCGTAGATCTCCTCTGTTGAGTTTTTGTCTTTCTTCTTCTTTTTCTCCTCTACAGGCCGAAGGAGGGAGAGCTCCTCAGGGTGACGGATGTCTGTAGAGGTAACAGAGAGGAAATAGAGATTTGTTTCATTAAGCAGAGTTTGTCTCAGCTGTAATACAATGGTAGTGTGTCTGATTCCGGGTCTGAAGAATGTGTGTGTGTGTTAAACTAAGCAGGGAACACATCTGTACAACACTGTGGTACAGACACAAAGACCTATGACACAGGTTAGCGAAACCTGCCAAGTATGAAACTCAAAATCTCAGAATTGCTCTGCTGCTCAGATTATTCTCATTTTACAATTGTTTACAAATTACACAACTGATTTCTAAGGATCGGATGTATCTGAGTGGTATTTAAGAGCCTGACATGCATCTGTGAATTCAGATGAGAAAGTAGCTTGTTCAAACAGATAAATCTGCTCGGTCATAAGATTCCTATTCAGTGCAACAATGTCCTGGAATTATTTTGGGATTGGTCACACTTCATAGTTGAGGCACAGAATTTTAGACCATGATTTTTCATATTTCAATAGATAGAAGCGAGTGGTAGCGAGTCTGACTTCAGATCAGAAGGTAGCATGTTCACATTAGGGATCCAAAACTCCATTATCTTATCTAAGATGATACATTGTGCTCTAATAAAACGATTAAATTTGGGTCATTGTATCAATGCTTAGTTGTTATTCAGTGATGGAGGTGAAGGAGTGGTTACTCTTCCGTTCTGAAGCTTTTTCAATGTATGACAAGACTCTGTGGCGCAACGGTAGCGCGTCTGACTCCAGATCAGAAGGTTGCGTGTTCAAATCACGTCAGGGTCAGGATACATATTATTTAAACTAACAGGTGCCACAAGCCATTTGATACTGTTTCAGAAAGAGAATGCTACATCATGGTTATCGTGTCTCTGCCTTGTTGAGCAGAACAATTAGATTCAAGTGTCATAATCAAAAGGCAGCCACTGACAGTAATGGATTAAAACCATTGTAAATATTAGACAGATTCAGTCTTTAAGTGTTGAGTTATATTTCATTTTGCTCTGCAGCGGAAGCCCATCCTTTGTTTTTACACACAAAGAGAGTTAATGGAGATCTATTTCTGTGTCTGTTCCTCCTCTCAGTGTTTGGGAATTCGATAGAAATCCGAGCTTTCTTAAACTGTACCTCAGCTCCCTCTAAGCTGCTTTTCTACTGACAGATTTCATTAGTTCCCCTCAGTCTGCTGCTTTTCAAAAACCTTTGCAGTCAGTTGCCACCTCCAGGGGATTTCTGGTGAGGAATTGAGACCAAGAGGTGCCACAATTAGAATAAATGAAAGCATGAAGCAGATGGTGGGGGCCTGAAAATGATGTGTATGTGTGTGTGTGTGTGTGTGTGTGTGTGTGTGTGTGTGTGTTGTTATAGTCAAATTAGACTGCAACATATTAATGAGACACATTTACACATCTTGCATAATTAGGTCGTGAACAGCTTCTGAGTAGAAACAGAATGAAGAAGAACTGAGGGAATGGTTCCATTACTATATCACATTACAGTTAAAGGAAGGAATGAAACAAACAAGCAAACAAACTGAGACACAAAGAAAGAATGAATGGACTCACTGAGCATCTTGCAGATGCCCATCACGGTCTGGAAGACAGGGCTAGAGAAGCAGGCCTTCAGCCTCAGGGTGATGCCGTTGGGCAGACCCAGCTTCAGGGGCTTGTGCTGAGGCATGAAAATCAGCCGAGCATCAGCATGAATGCCATATTTCTCCAGAGTCCAGGACGTCCGCAGCAGCCACCGCTGCTTCTGCTCCCACCACAGGACATGGTCCGACCAATCCTGCTGGATCTCTGCAGAGGACACACACAAAACAAATGTCACTAAAGGCCGAGGCTGAGCTAACATCCATTTGTTTCAAGCACTCACAACATTAAAGTGACAATGAGGGGAAAATGATTCATTTATATCGTATCTGTTCTATGTAGCCTAGTGTTACTGTTCACTTCATTAGGAACAACCCAGAACAGTTCGGCCATCAATTCTTAAATTAATATTACCTTCTGATTGATGTGAAAATGGCTGCTGTGAAAGACGTTCAGCAACACTGGATTTTAACAGTTGCATCAATGGCCTCCACCAGAGACTCTGTGGCGCAACGGTAGCGCGTCTGACTCCAGATCAGAAGGTTGCGTGTTCAAATCACGTCAGGGTCACATTCTCTCAATGACCCAAGAGTTTTCTATGGACTTGGTGTAGAACATTATTATGTGAGTTTCTGGCTTTGATGCACCACGCACAAGAAATTGAGTGAAGATTAAAATGACAGACAATTGATCGTCAACCGATCGATGATTAGAATAAATCAGACATCTGAGGTAAACGCATTTAAATGCGTCCATGAAATGCAGAGTTGCTGAGCTCCTTGCTCGCCTTTTCTTTTGTCCTAATTTTCTCAGAGGAAATCTCAAAAGGGATGTTTCAGTTTCATAGCAACCACCTAACTTCAATCCCAAAAAATTTAAAATTATGATTCACTAAATAAAATAAATTGTATGATAATTAGAAATAACGATAAACTAACTTTATAAATAACATATTTGCTATGTGAATGTAAAATATAGTATAAGACTATCATGGTATAATATAATTATATCACATATAACAGCTGAGCAGTCTCTACTGTTATAATACTTAAACATACACCTCCTTTTCTGCATAACAAGTAGTTTTATTTATAACACATACTACTTATTTTTGCAGTTTTGTAATGGATGGTTTTAACTAATGCATGAGTTGCATGATGATTTAATGCATGTAGGATGTGTCATTAATTCCTAATCATTATAACCTCACTATGATTTTTTGGATTATTTAATTCTTGTTGGATCATCAGTCAGTAACTTCATTTATTCATTTAAATGCCACCAAATTAACAGGAGCCTATGTGCAAAGCAATATAAATTTCGATCAGGGGCTCAGAAAATACTATTTTCAGTGTGTGACTGAGAGAAAGACTGAGACAATCAGCGTCAGACAGACAGTGACCTACGTGTCTTTTCCACCAGCTTGAGGATGACCCCTCCGACGTGGAGTTCAGAGGTCACACTGAGGTTGACAGGTGGGGCATCAGGCCCCAGGTCCTCCACTGTGACTAACAGGTCCCAGGCTGCCATACTGAGAGAGAAAGAGAGGAAGAAAGAGGATGAGAAAGAGAGTGAGGAATGAAGGAGACAGGTCTGACAGAGCGGAGTAGACAGATACCAAGAGAGGATAGCAGCAGAGACAAACTTGAAAAGAAAGAAGCACTAGATTTAGTCAAACTGAAAACAAGTTGTTGGTCAGAAAATGCTTTTTAAATGTTTGATAAATGTGATTTATGTAAATAAGATGAACATGACAGATCTTATTGAATGATATCAAAATAAAACATCTATTTAACCCCCAACACCATCTCTTCAGGTCAGGTATTAAAATCTGTCAGATGTTTCTTCATAGAAAATGTAATATTTGAATCATTATTAATGTACAGTCCTATAATGAATGTCAGTAGTTAGAAATATGTGAACAAATTGTTATCATGTTTGAAGTATGAAAAAAACGATAATAACATTGTATGTCAAAAATGACAAAGAGGATAAAACTGCTGTGAAAAGGTGAATTACACAGCCTGTAACAAAAGCACGAGAGAACTAAATGTTAAAGATATTAAACCTGTCAATCATATTACAGGGTTCAATGTCACATGATAGGGAGTCACACAAACACACACATACAAATACTGGATGACCTTATACTGGCATGTCCAGTTTAAAGAGCACTTCCTTTTTCTGCTTCAAACTATTGCCATGTATGCACACTTCCGCTTTCTGAGGCACCCGCAGTGTGATGTTCACACAGAGCTAAAACAGTTACTTATTGCATGTGTGTGAGAATGAGTCTGATTTAAAGATATTACATTTGATATGAGCTCGTTCCTCTTGTTATTGTATTTTCAAACATTACTATCACTAACAATGCCATGACAATGAATAAATGACAGGCCTGCAACATTCCTCCCCTCTATTGGAGGCTTATACTTTACATTTATCTGAGTGGGCTCCGATGTGTGACTAGTGAACCAGTTTCATTATATTATATAAAGCGATGTGACCTTGTAAAAGACATATGTAATACAAAAGCCCCACATGTACACACCCCATCCTAACGTTCTCTGTCACTCATGCTGTCACACACGCAATCACAAAAAAACATTACCTTCAGTCTCCTCTGTTCAAGGTTTGGAGAGGAGGAAAGCGGAGGGACCCCTGTGCCTCTGCCAGATCTCTGAAGAAGCTCCCCACGTTTTCGTTGAAAGTTTTGTGCAAGAGTTTTCGCCTCTCTCGGGTTGGGTGGGTTGAGGTCTGTGCAGCTATATCCGTGGTTGCCTTTGTCACTTCTGTCAAGACAGCCTTGTTCCTTTTTTTTTGTCAGTTTCCGCCAGGCGGAAATGTGAAATAAGCTAAATTTTTGACTGACAGGCGGTGCGAGTTACGCATATCAGGCAATGTGCATGTGCATATTCCTACAGAATATGCGGAGGAGATGTTAAACGACCGACAATACACAGTATCACTCTCTTCCATTTGTCTCAGAAAGCAAGCACACAACCAACTCATGGTAGACCGCAGATCACATTTGGGCTTTTGCAAGATTAGCAATAAGTATTCGTAGGATATGTATTATTCCCTGTGTTATATTTTCATCTGCATTTCTTTGTATGTTTGTTTGTTTTTTAGCAGGATTATGCAAAAACTGTGGGTCAGATTACCATGAAACCTGAAGGAAGGTTGTGGCAGGGGTCGGGGAAGAGCCTATTACATTTTCAAACATGGGAACAGTCTGATATTCGGTTTTACGTTCCGCTAGGGGGCGACAAAATTGAGATTAATAAGCAACAGATAATGTTGCCTTCAGGGGCCTTTTTTTACAGTGTGCAGATTGAAGGAGAGAAACACAGTAAAACAGTGTGAGGAGACAACTATACAACTGCATCCTACTACAATATGATATGTGAAACTCCTTAAACAGATCGTTCTGTCATGTAATTATTTTAAACTGAAAAAATAACTAAACGAGAAAATGCGTATATTTATTTTAACTTTTGTTAAAGCCCTGCTTCCTTCCCTATAACTATGCTGCAAATGATACTTCAATAAAATAACAAGAGACATTTTATATAAAGGTTAAGAAACCTTTTTTACCTCGGTAAAATAATTATATTTAACACTTTTGGCCATAATTATAATATTTCCATGATTTTTGAAAGAGGCCTCAGGGTTGTTTCGTTGGCCTCGGCTCTCCCATGTCATCTGACCGAGGGGACGGACTGTGTGAAGCTAAAAATAAAAGTAGTATTGGTCTCACTGTTACATTTATTATTTTCTCTCGTAATAATATAAACGTATAAAAACATCATTATACAAAATGTTAACGCCTATTTATACGTTTTAAAATGAGTAGTTTGAGTGAAAGGTTAACTGGCACCCCCCACTCCCTCGTGTAAATGGTACATTCCACACGTTTTGCGTCCCAAACATAAAATGGCACATGGACGCTGTCAGACGTGAAGTGAAACGTCTGGTGCTTGGCTCGTACCGAAAACGAAACTTAACCGTGAGGTTGACATTAATCTCCGGGGAAGCTTCAGTAACTCGACACGTTAGCCACCCCGGTGTCTAACATGGCGCTGCAAATATCAGCTCTACTTTCACATGTCAGAGCCCTCCCCCGCTCCCTCGGCTCTGTGCCCCGTGTCCGTGCCGACTTCCAGAGAGCCGCGGTCAAGTTCAAACACACAGCGGCTCCAGGAAGCCCCCGGCCGGGATGGAAGCCAGCAACAAGTCCTCCCCGCGGCCATATTAACGCTGCCGTCCGAACAGAGAAGTTCTCCACAACAACTGCAGCGACTCTTTGGAAGTCCAGTCCGGGCCACGGGGGGAGGAGAGGCTGGCTGGGTAAAGTAGCCCTCGGTGCGGCCATTGGAGTGAGCACAGTCGCGCTGGTCCACTCTCTCCACACCGGGACCCTGTCCGCCATGCCCGTCAAAGTTAGCCTGAACTCCGCGGAGGGAGACTGGAAGAAGACCAAGGGTGAGACTGAGCCACGAAACCCGAGAAGATTCACATTTAACAGAGCTGCACCTGCCGCTGGTTGATAGACATACACAGTTTAAATTAAACTCACACTACCAGCCCCATGCATGTGAAGTGAATGATGATGATGATGATGATGATGATGAGTACAATTATCAAACATGTCACCAGAACCCGTAGAATTAGTTTAATACTTTGTCCTCTGTAATTCATGCATCAGAGTTCACGACATACTGCACAGTACTATAAGACACTTTCATATTATTTACCGTCAGGACACTTTACTGTCATGATCATTTACAGTGTCACAACATTTTGAAATGCTAGTTTGGCTTAAAGGTTCAGTGTGTAGAAATTAGTGACATCTAGTGGTTAATTTCACATTGCAGCTGAAAACCCCTCACCTCTCCATCTCCTTCCAAAAATGAAAGAGAACCTGTGGCAGCCTTCAGTTGTCATAAAAAAGGTTTTAGTGTGCCACTGTAAAAAAACATGGCGGCCTCCGAATAGAGGACCCGCTCCCGATGTAAATATAAAGTATTTAAATATAAAGGGCCTATTCTAGGCTAAAGAAAACAACAATTTGTAAAATTTACATGAAACACACTAGTGCAAGCATCACAAGAATTATTTTATGTTCAGTTTCAGATCCCTTTCACCAAAATCTTGCACACTGGACCTTTAAGGTTAAAAGATGAAAACATGCCAACATATCAATACATTTGACAGTATTTTTATAACATTCTGTTGTGTTAAAAAGTGGAGTTTGAGGAATATTGGTTGTGAATTCACAAATACATTGACTTGTCTATGACAGACAGTCTATTGGCAGCACGTGGAGTAATCCCCTCGTGTCTATGTCCTGTTTAAACATCCAGAAGGTTTTTGCTGTCCTCAACTGGCAGGCAGAATTCAGCATTAACCTGCTAGGTCCAGCTTTTGTATGTCCCGAGATGGGTGAAAGTATTTGCATGTATTGCTGAGTTTTGTAGAAACACAAAGACACAGGTGCACACACACTCACAGGGGTAAAAGTAACACCCCCAGCTTGTGGCTATGTCAGAGCACAGGGTAACCAATATTCATTTTATATCTCGCTACCTCATTACTCCTGATCTCTATCTCCGTTATATCCCTCAGACGTCTTGCTGTCTCTGTTGCTGAAGGACCGGCGTCAGCACTACAGGATGCGTGACTTTGTGCCATTGGATGAAATCCCAGTGTGGACCCCCACTGCAGGTCAGAAACCCATCAGTCCAAGTCACCGTCATGTTTATTGAGGATTGGAGAGCTGTGGTGGTGAATACAAGTGTTATTTGACATTTGGCCTCATTACATCAAAGAACTTTTAAAATTCTACACTTAGAGCTTCTCAAGAAATTATGATCAACACAGAGACTTTGAAGAAACCTTTTGTTAAATATGTAATATAAATGTTAATGCAGAAATAGTGTATAGTGCACTTTTTTTTTGAGAAATGAAACTGGCTGAGTAGAGTTGGTTATGTTAAAAATAAGAATAACAGTTATTAATATTCAAGAGGAGAGTTTAGCTGCCAGTCAAACCCAATTTGTCCACACCCACATAAGAGGTTTAATCACAAATCACTTGTGTGGGTGGACTATAGGTGTCCAGTGACTTTCATTTTGTTATTCTGATGTTAAGTATGGGAACAAACCACCAACACATTTCCCTTGTGCAAATTTACCGGATAAAAAATGACTGATCGTCAGACTGATATGTTCATACTGTATTTCTGTGTCTCATTATCAGGTGGTTCTGAGCCAAGCCGCTATCAGAGGAATGAGAAGTTTGACAAGAAGATTTCCCTCTACAGCGGTGACATCACCAAGCTGGAGATTGATGCTATTGTTAATGCAGGTAGGTGTGTGTGTGTAGGTGAATGTTCTTAGTTGATTCAGTGAGCGGGTTTGTCATCCAACAAGGAGCTATTTCTACACATTTTAAAATAAAAATGTAAAATGGCATAAAGCACGATTTTCTTTCATTTTTATTTCCACTATTTGCTGTAAAAGTGTTCATTGGGGAAAAGAGAAACTCATGCAGAAGAATAATATGCAGAAGAAAGCCATCCAGTTGGAAATATGAGAAAGGATTAGGGATTTAAAAGCTTGGTGCTAAACTGAGCGGAGCCTCTGGTCCCTTTTGTGCAGTGATGTGCATGTACTGTACATAAATATAGCACAAAACACCTGAGAGGGCGGTTTGTGCTGTGATTATGGGTGAGGTTATCTGTGTGTGTGGGAGGGAAAGATACAAGCTTTTATGTGGTTACCAACATACTGGGAAGTTTGCTTTAAACTAGTGTATAGTACAGAAGAATATAAGAACAACAGAATGGTTGAGAATCAGAGGGACTGCTGACAGACTCTCTGGAAAAAATCTAAAGCAGGCAAAGCCACACAAAGCGTTGATGAGAAATCTCATCAAGATTACGTGCCAACTCCATTGAAACGGATAAATGTTAATGAAACTCTGTAGATTCAGTCGAGTGATAGCTGCTGGTGTTTTGGGGGTATAACTATGAAAGTCAAGTGTCAATGAACAAAGCTGATCATATATTTTACTCGGGTACCGCATCAGATTTAACTTACTATCCTATTATAGCAATGGTTTGAAGATAATCTTTACTAGTGCATATGTCCTCGAAGGGCGTTGATGGTCCCATCAAACACATTTTCTTAGTTTGTTTTTGTTTTGTTTATGTAGTTTCCTCTAGTCATTTGTCCTGGGATACTACTTCTTTTATTGCAAAGAAACCATTAACTAGCTAGCGCTGCAACGTTCAGTTAATTTAATTATCAATTAACTTGTTGATTTCTTTTTTCAATTAATGAATTTATTGTTGTAGTCAATTAAATGTCAAAAAGTAGCCAAAATTTTCCCATTAGAAGTTTTCAGAAGAAAGAGTCAACACCCCAAAGGTATTCAATTAAATAAAACACCCTAACACCTAAAAACAACAAGTCACCAGACTTATGAGAAGCTGGAACTAACGTGTGCGTTTGCACGATTAAGCAACTCCAGCGATGGAAGGATTATCAATTTTGTTGTAGATTAATTTTGTGTCAAATCATGAAAGTCATTCATTTTTCATTTTTATTGATCAATTTTAATGTGGAGCCTCCTTGTTACTATGTCGAAAAACTACATACAAGTACTGCATGAAACAGGCCAATAGAAACAAAAATATCAGGAATTGTTACACAGGGAAGATATTTACAAATGCTGAGCTCTGATTAATTTGGGCTTTTCATAGACAGACCAATGTCATACAGAGTAATTAAATAGCACACAAACTAACTTTAGTCATTGTAACAATTGAATAACAAATGCAATTTATAGCCAACACTAAAAGCTAATAATGGCAAGTGCTACTTAGTAGTCTGAGCCTACAGCTTGATTAAAGGAGTCATTTAATCCCAGTAACCATTTTCTTCTTGTTAAAAGGTTTTTTTTCAGAATGATAGTGTTTACCCCCCATTAGTAGTTTCTTTCACCAGCAGCTTCAAGAAAGATTATGGTCTTTCTTTTGGCCACTAGATGGGGCAACAAACCCAATCATGCACTGAAAGACCTTTTCCCACAAGGCCCTTTGGACATTCGGGAGAAATTTAATCGGTGTCTTGGCACAGACTAGTATGGGGGGGGGAGTGAGGCAGGCCAGCACGCCTAAATGATGCTTGATGATTAGACTGTAGCAGAAAATGATAGATTTTCAATGGCAGCTGACTGTCAGCAGGTGCATGCTGTGCCAGCATCCAGTGAATGTTTTGATCGTTGACTCTCATTTATGACATTACTGCTTGTGCGTGTGTTGGCAAGCGTTCATTAATGCATCTGCCTACAAATTTTTAAGTAATTATGAGTGTACGTGCAGCAGGCGATTGTAATTTGTCTCTGAGTGGCTGAAGAGGCGACTTTGTCTTGTGTTTTACTGGAGCTTTTACAGAGTCGCACAATGCAAAGTAGCATGGAATTAACAAGAGGAAACTGCCAGTAAAGTGTCGTTTAGTAGAGAGAGGACGAGGCAAGGTGAGGGAGGGAGAGTGAAAAACAACAGTGCCAGAGGAAACATGACTGAGAGACAGTCAGCACACACCAGCTGACAAAAAGCATGCAGAGTCTGGAGGAGTGAAAAGAAGATAAAAGAGAGGCGGGGGGAGGACAAAGGCTTGTATTTAAATCTCGGACTGTATTGCCATGGCAACAAGCAGGTACAGGGTACCCTCAAAGGACTTTTGGGCAGCATAGCCAGTTCATCATTTTCTGTGTGACTGATTCTGTGTGGTCATTTTGTTGACTAAGTGGCTGACCTTTTCATTCAATGACTAACTGAACTTACTGAGTGACTAAGAGGCCCATAGAGTCGCAGTTAAAGAGATAAGACATTAAAAAAACAAGGCAGCAGCAAAGAGACATCGAGGGGAAAGAGAACAATTATAAAAGTGAAGGTTAGTCACGCTCGTTTAGAAAATGACTCATATTCTCCTGTTGCAGGTTGAACAGCAGAGCTCCAGCATTACAGAGCAGCCACCCTGCGCCTGTGGTTTTTGACATGTGTGCAGAACACTTTTCTGGCTGCTCTGAAAGGCCTTGAAGCATCATTTAGCCCCTAAGGCAGCAAACATTCAATTGAAGCCAACTGTGGCCAATTATATGCTATACTGACAGACTGGTCGGCAGGTTGGGAGGGTGGGTGGGGGGCTTCCAGGCCTGGCTAGTGGTGAGCAGTGGACTCTACACACACAAAAACACAAACATATGGATGCATACAGAGACGCCCACGCAGACCCTGTGTGGATCGATGCAGATACACAGATACAGAAGCAGCTGTGGATTAACAGGTGGGAACTTGGTTATTTGCTGCTCCCGCCTGCTTCCTCCACACTCAGAACTCATTGATCAGGTGAACGGGGCGTTGCAGGGAGGCCGGGCGGTCGCTGTTTGCCGTTTGTGTCGCTCTCAATAAAGATTGGATTTACAGTAACTCTCCACTCCTCCTCCTTATCCTCCACTTCTCCTCCTGCCCCTCCACTCCCACTCTCCCACTCTCCCTCCACACTTTTACAGCCCCTGGCTCCTGCCCACTCCTATAAAACACTATAAACGTAAAAACCCACAAGCACTTAAGAGCCGTCCTGGTGAGGAGAGGGGGAGGCGGGAGGGAGGGGAGGAGGGTGTAGGGGGGAGGGCCAGAAACATCCTCCTCTTTACACCCCTCAATCACTCCGGCCGGAGAAGGAGAGCGAGATGGAGGGGAGGATATATTGTCTCTGATGGGCTAGCTGATTAAGATGGATTGCACAATGAAATGTCGTCGGACTGATGAGATCTTGGAGTGTGTGTGCATGTGTGAGAGAGTGTGTGTGTGTGTACAACATCCCAGCAGCTAACTTTGCATTAAAACCTTTTTCCAAATTGATTAAATGCAAATTTGCTTAGCTCTACTGAGCTGCATTTTCACTCGCAAAAAGTTTTATTCCTCATTTCCATTCTATCACTTACTGTACTTTCAGCAGGCGTGCACTGTTTACTGTGCGTGACATTAATTGCTACTTATTTTGGCCTTCCCATTTCTCAGCATGGAACCAAAGTTTAATAGAAAAATATTTAAAAACTGGACCGGTAAAACCTCCTGGTATTCTTGCTTAATGTCCTTTTTTCCAGTGGTGCTAACAGTGTGTGAGAGTAGGCTGATAAATCTTTCAGGCTCGACTATAAAAAAAAAAAAAAAAAAAAAAAAACCTCCCTAAAATTAAGCTGTGCACTTTCAAATGATAGAGAATGTTCTGCTCATGTCTCAGTCTTTACAGCTGAACCACTTGTCATCGTCACAATTTTTGCTTGCTGGGAGTCTCTGGGAGTGTGTGTCTGCTTGTGTGTGTATATACAGGACTGTGTGTGTATGTTGCACCTGTGCAGTTGTGCTTGGATGTATTGACAAGATCACATACATGTATGTCTGCATGTGCGCACCTGTGCATCAGCTGCACCTGCTTGTGCCTGACCCAGTGCCCATAATCCCGGCTCTATGGATTTGTGTGTGCCGTATAATGTCTGGTGCATGAGTGGTGTGTGTATTTTGTGTGCACTCTGCAGGTATCATGTGCGTGTGCATGAGATAGGGTCTCCTAGGTTTTCTTCTGCAGGTCAGAGATAAAGCTGTTGGTTGGCACTGGAAACACACTCACTGTGGCAACAGCTGAGAGATACAAGATTATATCCAATAGTTTTCCTGGCCTGCAGGTGACAGGCAGAATTAGAGAGAGAGAAAGAGCATCTATACACTACACTGTAACTTCCTCACAGATAAGAAACCTGTAAAGGAAGCACTGATGGATGGATGAGGAGATGGATTGCAAGGACAGTAAGTTGACAGACAAGGAGGGATAAGGGTCAGGAAGCTGGTGAAGGGCAACAACACTTAATGTCTCGGCTGCAAATTCCACAAAATACATCATGTTACCTTCAGCATGGCATCAGTGTGACGTACGTTTTTTAAAAAGGAATGTGGTGGGCCAGAGGGTCGAGCGTTTCCTCAGAGAAGTCTGAAAATGTCAGGCACAAACAAGCCTGTTATGACTAATGGCAGGCTTGAAAAGTCCAGGGATATATACAGAGTTAACCTGAGACGCTAATGAAAGCCTGAAGCTTGACTCATCTGGAACAATAATAAAATAGAAATAAAAAAGGTTTGAACGTGTATTTGTTGAAAAGGTCAGACGCAGACTCGGCTCAAAGTCACATGACGGTATCAAGTGTGACAAATCAAGCTGCTTGTCCTGTGATCAATGCAAGAGGCAGACAATGGCAAAAGCAACAGTCAGGTCCTTTATGAACATAGTGTTTGCTGTGAA